TATCACAAAACAACTGTGGTTTCATTTGCCCACGGCGTCATAACATCATAACGACGGAGTAAAATGTCTTCTGGGAATGGTCACGGCAGCGGAAGGATATCGTGTTTTAAAACACTCCCTGACTTGTGACTCTTACCACGCCGGAAAGCGCCAATATCAATGTCATTTTATAAATAGAAATTCCTTCCCTTTCGAAGGCTGAATCTTTCAAAAGAAACAGATAATTACAAATAAGACATATAACTTCCAGCCATTAAATAGTGATTGCCATTACTGATCAGTACTCAAGGTGATCACTAGACCATCAAGGACGAACTGAACGACCTCTATTTGACCTTCTGCAACCCATTTCTCTGTCTGCACTTTGAAGCTCCGCCGTGTAATGTGTCTGGTCCTGTGTTAGGACGGGGTGTTTGCTGGGGTTCCTACGACAGGACAAGAAAAACACACACAAACACACGGGCATGATCGGAAACAATTACACCGGACAGGCGGGGGTGGGGAAAATACAAGTTCAAGGGAAGGGGTGATATTTCTGCCAATGATTTCAAGATAATGTTCTTTTGAATGAGAACATCTGTAGTACACTATGTATTGCCTTTCTCGGAAAAAAGGGTAAACGATAAGTATCTTGCCAGTTACCGCAATAAAAGAAGTATTGCCAGTCCAACCTATTATGCTCCAATGGAGACAGGCAAATGCCATAGTAAATGACTTGTGTGCTAGATTGACAGGTACATATCTGCACATCGCAAGTTCCTGTACTTGTATACTTAGGAGTCTGCAGGAAAGCGTTTTAACACTTGTTCTAGAAAGTCTTGCCCAGTATGTCTAATCTCCAAGCAGATCCTAGGGTGGCAAAAGACAGTAACAAATTGGCCAGGCAGTAGTAGTATCCATTGGCCAGAGAGGGTCCAATACGCCACCCAAGCCTGGCCAATATGAAACAGTACTGTCTTTTGCCACCCTACGATCTGCTTGGAGATTACAGTTCGTTCCGAAATAACCACCAAAGGGTTCCCAGTATTCAGAATACGAAACCACAGACTCGTGAGGCTGCCACATCAGCAGTTTACTGGTGAGCTGGTAGATATATAAAACCCACAACGTCAGCTGGCTACCGGCCAGAGGGCCCCTTGTCTGACTCTGAGTGAGTCATGCAGAACTTTGCTCAAACTTGCCACAAGTCTGGCACCGACACACCACGGAAAACAGTCTGGTAAGCGGTGGTGGTCGGTGACTTACTAGTAACATCATGTGATATACTGACGATAAGTCTGGACGTTTCTCAATCATTGACAAACATACTAGATATACCATACAGTACGTATAGCAGATTCTATTATGTACTGTAATCTTATATTATGTGCATAATTATATCTTATAATTATATCGAGATGCAAGGGAAAGTTGATGCACATATCGTCAAAAATTTGCATTGGTTCTTGCACAAATTTTAAGACTTCTTAGTTGATAGCCTCTTCAATGCTTCGGAAGCGGGTGAAAACAGTAGTAATTGGCCTGATATAGACAGATAATATGCCAGGGGAGTTGGTCCTCTAAAGGAGTACATTTGCCGCTTCCGAAGCCTGGTAGAGGCTGCTTAGATGAAGAGAATTGCACTAGTCTGAGTTGATTGAGTAGAGAAACCAGGTCAGGCGTTTCTAGATACTCTACATGCCTGCGTCTTATCTGTCTGGGTTAGATCGACTCACGGAAGTTATAAAGACTTTGGTTGAAGGCCAAGTCTTCTGGGACCGACAGTCGGATGTTTCCAACCTGTTTCTACAACAAAGTACCACCGGCTTCTTGCTTTAAAGGCATCCAATGCGATTTCATAGCAGCAAAACTGCAAATATTCTGAACAAGGCGATCTTTATGATATTGAGAAGTACTGCTTCACATTAGCACATTTCAATCAGTATTTCATACTTTGGGTATTTAAACTTCAGAAACAGGCCTCAAGATGAGTCCTGTATTTAATGGACGGTACCCTAAAAATCAGCCAACAGCCCTTCCAGTAACCATTTTCCGTCAGAATTTTGGTAATTTTTGCTCCATGAGGGTCAATATACATTGGGATTATCCGATAGTGTTGTTTCAACTCAGAATGTAGATAAATGTCTAGAATATTTATTGGCTTTGAAAAATCGGGTTCTCCAGCCCTAAAAAACGGCTTTTAAGACAAAATCTTCAAGTGTGAAAAGAATGGAAGACAACGACAGGAAATGCCAGGCTGTCACCTCTTCCTTGGTACAGCCCAGATCTCACACAGACGCTAGACCTTGAAAAGTATCAGTTGTTCGAAAGGTCTGAAAGCTAGCTAGATGACCTCACAAAGGCCTTTGAAAACGGTTTCTTTGAAGGGCGATACAAAATGCAATGTTTATTATTATAACAGCAATTATAATAGCTTTTACGAAAGTCATGACATTTTGATGACCGCCATTTGCGTCACATTGCAAGTTGGCATTTTCTGAAAGTCGTTACTATACGAGGGATAAAAGCCGCCGACTATTATGCGGTACGCGTATATTATAGCCGGCTTACAATTGGTGCCCTTTAAACTGACGTCATAACGATTAACAGTATTGTTCTATTGTCATTTTCACGTTCATTTATCGCAGGCTAATGAAATATCAGTCTATTTGAAGTATAAATTGATTTAACAACAAACAAAATTCGTTTCTTTGCTTAATGTCATTTTAAAAGTTATCAGTAACATCTAAATTTGCGGCAAAAATGTTTTCTGGTTTTATATACAGTCACGTACTGTTTTTGCTACGTCTCCTCTTCTCCTCCAAACCAAAAAGGTCAATGACTGAACTAGACTGTCTGTTACCATGGTAACTGGTGTTGGGTTGTATCATGTTGCAATTTTATAGCAGTAGGGATTTACTAGTAAGAATTAGAACAGACCATATGCGAAGGTAAACATTATGCATTTGCTTTGCAAATGTTACCTTTCTAGTCTTGGTTATGTCTTTATTGGTATCAGTTAAGTTTTGTGTATTACTTGTGTAGTAAGTTGTGAAATGAGCTTATGTGAGTTTGCAATACATAGACTACTTTCCTCTTATATTTTAAGTCAACTTTTATTACTGAAACAATGACATCAAGTACAGTCTAGCTCAAAGCACCAGTAATATACATTGCTCATATAACCTAACTTGAAAACCTATGTAAACAATGTAATGAATATGCATATCATAAATTGGCCTGTTTATTAGTTGCTATAATAGATTCATTGGATGATCATGATTTGTTTATAATTAGCTTTTACGGGGATGCTATGCCTTCTGCAATTGGTATAAAAACACTCATATTTGTTCTAACACCGTAGGAATTTGGGGCTCAATATTATAAAGATAAATATATGAATCTGCTGAACTTGTTTTTCTATTGCCTTTGCTTTTGGCCATTTCTTTTAGCACAACAATAATTACAATAAATACAGATGTAGCTTTTTAGAAATAATTTGTATACATCTAACTAATCAAAGCAGATTAAATGCATCTAGCATTCCTCTTTATTATGATAATTGCACTCTAGCATACAATAACTCAGCTTAAACATATCTACTAATGCAACAAAATTTACATGTGTAATACAATAGGGGCTGAAGCAGGGAGGATTGTGAGTATCTGTATGTGTTAATGTATGTTTGTGAAAATGTTTCTCAATTCTTTTCTGGTCAACTATTCCTCTTGTCTGATGGTTATTCATGCCAGCTTTATTCATGCACAGCTTGTGTGTTTCCTAAATCTCTTTTTTTTTTGCAAGTTTTTATCCTGCCTGTAATCCTACCTGGGCCGTCTCCAATGCGAGCAATGCAGCAAGGGCATTACGTTATACCAAGGAGTCCGACCTAGTCTTAATATCTGATAAATAGAATTGTAATGTAATTTTCCAATGTCTCTGGGTATTGTAATATGACATACAAAATGTTTTGCTTAGGGTCGATGATACACTATGAAAAATGTTATGTCCCAATTATATAGCATTAGATATATTTTGCTACTTGCAATAGCAAAGGTAATTTGTGTAACAATTTAAACAAGATGTCATGTTGTAAAAGAAAGGTAATTTGTGCAGAATATTTTTTAAGATGTCATGTTATAAAAAAAATGCCATTCCCAAATTTACGTATATATTTACAGTAGTGTTCCTATCATGTCCCATGCACCAGCTATATTTCATATGAATTGCTATGGTTAATAAGATATACTGCCAGCAGATATCAGGCTTAGACATAAATTCACTATTACCACCACTATTACATAATAGATATGAATAGATATTATGCCTTTTAAATGGAGTGTTCAGTAGTTGTTTAAAACTGGAAGTATGGTGTGTGTTTGACAGGCTTCATATCCTTTGTAATTTTTAATTTTTCTGTTTTGATGATGAAAATGTCTCTTTTTTTCTCCAAAATCCATACTATTACCATGATGATCGACCTCCTTATGCAACCTTCATAGATGGTGCCACCTGAAAAATAAGTAGTATATCATGAGGTATCAAAATGACATAAATGAGAGGGAAACAATACACAATACCCCCAATGTCATATGAAAATGGCTCAGCCCTAGAGGGGGTTAATTGGTTTGAGGTCAGCCAATCACAGAAGAGCGCAGGCATTTCCTGAGAGGATGAACCTGAAGAAACAAAGGAGAAACCAGCTGACAGGGATAGTCTGAGAAACAGTGCTAGAGCTACAGGTGGCTTCTGTACCAGGCCTGTCTGTCAAAACACTGGGAACACAAGTACATTACATCATGTAGGGGAGGCCATTGGGAAAATAAACAAGACCAGAAATAGTTGTGATTCATTTCAGGTCTCCTTTGACCTTTCAATACAAAATGTGATGAAATGTTAATACTGGGAAGATAACCCAACTCTTGAAGAAATGTGTTCCAGGGCAAGTACAGAAATGCCATGTTGAACAAGAAGCAAAGTAAATTGTGTCTTTCTCATATATGCAAAGCATAACTCACCTGAGATATTTCTCATGCTCAATTTCCATCACATGCAGACTGAAGCAATGTAGATAGTAAAGACCAAGTTATAAAAAAAGTACAGTCTACAATTAAGTTTGATGTTAGTTTTTAGTGAAAATTATACACAAGTCTCTGTGTATAATTTTCTAGTTGGTTTATATTTTAACTTTTCATCGAAAAGCTTGCCCAACAGTGAACACCATTCAAAAGCCTTTTTCCCTTCCAAAGAATTGGAAGAAAGTCAGTTCTCAATTTCAATTCACGGTCTAAATCCTTTCCAGCCAAAAATGAGCAAAAAAAGGTCTGTCTGTGCTGTAGACTGTTCCTAACCTGTCAACTCGGGTAGTGAGAGACAGGAACTATTAGAGTAGCAGGCTGGAATGTACAGAATGTTGTGGGAAGGTGTCCTGGTACCAAATTAGGACTGGCAGCCTCACAGGTTCACACTCCTACTTAACCTGCCACCTAGGCTGAAAACTTTCACTTGGCAGAGACAGCAGCAGCTGAGAGTGAAAGTCTTAGGTTTGGTGCACCAGTCAATGGAAAGATCAAGGGAAACTCAAAGGCATGCATTGCAGGGGGTAGTCATTTGGTTAGACTCATAACTATCATGGTTAAAAGGCAGAGATTTTGAGCTGCAAAACAGATAGAAGAAACAGTATTGAAAACAATACATGGTAATCATTGAAATATGGTCATCATTGAAAATTTCTTTATGGTCTTCCTACTTTTGGGTAGGTTTTCTTAATTTCTGTATCTGTATCTTAATTTCTGTATCTGTATCTGTGTAGTCGGTACTAATGTCTTTGATCATAACACACTGGCCTTTTGGCTTTAAGTGCTGAGTGAGGGTCAAATTCACAGCAAGGCATCCTCTACTTCAAACAATCTGCCAGGCAAGCGCGAGAGACAAGCCTGACATGTTTAGGTGGTTTGCCCGTGAATCCTAAATACATACCACGACTAGCTGTCCTTTCTTCCCCTTCTCCACTCGAGTCTCTGCTCCCAATGAAAACTCAATCAGACCCTCCTTTCCTCCAGACATGGTGTAGGCCAGCCTATCAAGGGCACAAACAAGAACGTCACAGTTTGTTAACCTACACAGCTGCCTATTAGTGAGTTCTAACAGTTTTCAACCATGGATATTATGTTCATGATGTATCCTCGGTTCATGACACTAAGTAAGCTCTTTACCCTTTCAGGTATTTCCTGGATATTTGAGAAAAAAGCTTGACTTCCGTAGCAGCCAATCAAAAACAAAACATGACATAGTGGAAAGAAGTATTAACACAGAGCCTGCATAAGTGATGGACTACACTTTATGATGCCTTCAATGTATTCCTTCTTGTGGTTGTTCACATTTTCGCTGTTTATTAGTGGATTCTCACATGACTGAAGAATTTCACTGTAGACTGTTAGTACTGTAGAGGTCCAGCCTACTCAGCTACAATCTATTTAATCATGTCAGAAGCAAACACCTTTCAATCTTTTGTGAAAAGTATTTGTGAACAATTAAATCTTCCATACCTTTTAATACAGTTCTACTGCAGTATACATGAAGTAGGGAATTGAAATTCAACTTTCCCTACTTTTGAAGACTTATGGTACAAACCATGATAAGCTTGCTCTGCTTGTTACTGACTAATGTTTGTCATACTGTCCTTACAACACAAATGTTTGCCTTCAAGAACTAAAGGAGAATGAACTTGAGTGTTTTAGAGCTCTAGAGTTTCCTGACTCATGTACATATTGACAATGAATATTTTGGGGGCAGGGTTGCCTGTAGCATGGTGAAAGTTTAAAGAAGATATCACACTGTATCATCCGCCATGAGAATTTCACAGTGACATTAGAATGAGTGCTGTTCATGCTCAGCCACGTTCAGTCAACAGCACTGTTTATAGACTGTCTCAACACCCCCTTCCACAACACACCACACACAGAGCAATGCATTCACAACCTGTGACTTCTCACTTCTATCAAACCCTCCAAACCCTCACATTAGGGCTGTAGACAAATATGTGGGCTCTCTCTGTTTACTGAGCTGAAAGATACTCGATAAGAAGCAGCAGTAGTCGTGTGGTCATTTCAGAAGTCATGACACGGTGTTGACTTGAGGGTAAGGATGTTGACTCTGTGGCTAGCTCTGTAAACATGACGTGTGGACGTGAGAGTTGGTACCCACCCGCCGGGCTTGACGACCTGGATGGAGTTGATCTTGCCGGCCGCCAGGGCGATCTTGGTGGTCGCCTCGATCACCTGATCACTCAGGAGGATCACATCACCCTGGGGACACAGATGGATAACACAGATGAAGCTTATTGGTGCTGCTCACATAATTACGTTAATTCTGTCCAATAGGGATGCTTGTAACATCAAAATCCTAGAGATATATCATAGTCTTTACCTTTTCCTTCTTGTCTGTGCATTCTGCATGGATCACAAATATTCCATCTGCCAGCTCACTCACAGATATGCCTGAGAAAAGAATTATACAAATATTTTTTTACATTGTGTAAATATTTAGACATATTTACATTGTGTAAATAACACATTAGAAAGGAAACATTTGCTGGCTACTGCACAAAGTTTTGATTTCTAATTTTTGACAAATACATGTGTGTTGTACCTTGACCACTGCATATACCTGTGATGCCTCCTAGCAGAGGATGGTGTAAACTGGTATTAAGATGCTCATGACATACAAATGCAAAATACTGAATATGGTACTCATGATTGCCGTACAATTGAGTGCATTCTGAGGATAGTCATGCATGTATCCTGCAAAATTCTTCTTATGGAAAAGGCTGTCTTAGACCCTTGTCCCACAGTTGGTTCTGTCACTGCCTGCTTGAAAATTATGTGGCATGAAAATCGTACAATGACCTACGACTAGAGGCCGTCTGACCTGTGAGGTTCTCATACAGAATCTTGTCCTTGAGTTTGAAGTCCTGCTCATCCAGGATGTACACGGCCAGGTTGGTGGCGATCAGCACACGGGGGCGGGTCTTGTAACCATGGCGATCATACTTGGTGACTGGAGACATGTACTGTACAAGCAGATAACATTAAACACATATGCCATTAGCACATGCGCATGGGTTTCAACCTTCTACAAAACACTATATGCTGGAGTCAAGGCTTATAACGTTATAGAGATGACAAAAACAACAGGTTTTATTCTAGCAGAAGGCTTGAGTTCTGGGACAGGACTAAAACCACAGACAAATGATGTCTTGAGCTGTAACTACAAGGGAGCAGTAAGTAATCATTGAAGTGTTCAGTAAATCACTGGTGAAAGTGTATGAACAGTTACACAACCTCTGTTCCAAATTAGAATTTTTGATTGACAGTGTGACAGTATAATACCTTTGGTCTCTCTTCCTGACTCAGATACTTCTTGTCAAACACCTTGGACTTCAGTGCTTCGTGTTGTGGGGCTGTAGGATGGGAAACAGTACAACAGTTAGAGAAAGTGTCATCCAGTTCAGCACTGCTGGATTGAGGAATCCCATAGAGAGCAAAAGTGCTGTACTTAAAATCTTCAAATCTGTTCTTTAAAGATTTAAGATGTAAAGAATCCATTTAAATGAAAAGCTAGAAGTCAACACTGATGGCAGTGCAAGAGTTTCATCTTTCTGACAGCAACCAGTAAATAATCTAATTACATAATCAGAGCTATTTACTTGAATGTCAATTAATGCTTGACTTCCTTACTTAGTCTGTTGCTCTTGAAAGGCTGTGCCACACTCTCTGGGTAACTCGACTTCTTCCCTTTAAAAATCTCACTGGCTGTGAGCTTCTCTTGCATCTGCAGAAAAAAACATTGAAAAGTTGCCCTGTATTACATTTGTGTTTTGATAAACATTATCAAAGCAACAACATTATGTCGGGTTATGTAAACGTTCTATATACTAGTGAGGAAACTGTTCTTCATGCATTCTATGCACTATACATGCACTTTTAGATTTTTACATAACTTGTGTGGGAAGGCTATATGTTGGTTCTTACCTGCATCTTCTTCTGTGGAGACATGTTCAGACAGTACCGCCTCACCTGGTTATTGTGGAACATGTCCTTCAACAATGCTGATGTCTGTGTGGACAAATAAAAAATATTTAAGAGTTAATGACCTGCCTGAGGTGTATATGGTGTGATAAGGTCTTATCAGTTGCTATAACCACCAAAAAAAAACCCACCAAAACTGACACAGGTAAGACTAAGACTGACACACAATGTACTTTAATGGTGCCTGCAAAGCTGGTGTGTTATGCCAGAGGGCAGTTATACCAGCTATGATTACCTGACATATCTAGGGCTTGAAGAAGACAGACTGTATGTATTTGTAAGGAGTAAGATTCTGACAAACCTCCCTGAGGTTGGGTGGTGCAGTTGGCCAGGACTTGTCCAGGATAGACTTGGGCAGGGAGTCTCTGAGCTTGTGCAGGAAGGTGACCCGACAGTGGTTGATGAACATCTCGTTATCACCGTTGGGAGGCTGGTTTCTTGTGATGAACCCATTGATGTACCTGGAAAAATAAATAAAGAAAGAGAAATAGAAACCTTTGGAGACAAGAAATCAGAGATTTCAGGCTTCCAGGAAATGTTTTGGGCTTTCGAATGTATTGGAACTGTGCTGTGGAGGGGCTAAAATGATGTAATTTAATCAGGTACCACACACAGTCAACCTCTTCCTGAATTCCTCCACATGCTGCCCACTAACAACAGGGAAATTACTTGAAGCTGATTCCAATAGTGATCTACTAACCTGCGCAGAACCTGTGCAGCATTCCTTCTCCTTTCCAGTAGCCTCTTGGCTGCCACTCTCTTCCAGTGAGCAGCAATCATCGTCACTGGGGAAAAAATACATTGCTTGATGCTTGGTGCTTACAAGACAGTTGCAATCAAATACCCCAGTTGGCAGTATTAACCAAATATTTGGAAGATGACTATTTGTAGTACATTGTAGTCATATTCATCTCCTACTAGGAAGAAACAGTTCATAACGTTACCTGCCCATTGCATCCTCTTGTACTTCTTGTACTGTGCATGGCCCTTGTATGTTGCCTGAATGGTAGTGGCTGTCAACAGAATGAAATGCAAGTAATATCTGTTAAGGCAATCTTTCTTCACAAATATCTAATATCTATGTTGTGTGTTGACAGCATAAGAGAACTTGACTTAAAGATATGAGGGGCTGACATACCCAGGTCATGCTTCTTCAGCTGGAAGGCATCCTCAGTGGCAAACAGAGTCTTGGGGAGCCGGATAAAGATCTTGGTACTAATGCAGACAAAGAAGTCTATTAGACAAAGCTATTGTACTGAATGGAAAAAAAATCTTAATGATACATTGGACCATTGGAGGGCCATGTACTAGGTAGCCTTTATCAAAGAAATTGGAAAACCTCAAAGACATGAAGATTTTGAATGTACATGTAGTCTTCCCTTTTTATGGTGTAGTTCTACAAAATGTAATCTTCTTATCATCAAACACTAGGTAAGCCTGTTCTTGATAGATATACATGATGCCGATAACTGAGTGAAAGCTTACTTTCCCAGCCTGTACTCATCATGTCTGTACTCCATGGACTGGCACAGCAGTTCTACCCCATCCTTTGGTTTTCCGTAGTAGTTGGGCCACGTGTCCTTGCACAAACACTTGTACCTAATCGTCCAAACAATTTTCAAAGAATCAAAAGCCTCGAATATGTTCGAATTCAGAAAACAATATTGAAACAATCTACAATGATACAGGACACAACAAATTTTGATGTGTCAAAATAAAACACAAGGACAATAGGTAGGAACAGCCACACGCAATATTATCTTATTAAGAAGACAAAATGTTTTAGGTTCTGACTGTCCTACCTGTTGAGGAAAGCCTCATAAGGTCTCCTGTAGGCGAATCCTGCCCGCCTCACTCTCAGGTTCTCCATCAGACCCAGGTACTTCACCTGGTGACGGATCAGGATCGGATCAAACACACCTGCATAGGAGGAGACATAACATAAAATGGATCTTGTTTTTAAACGGTAGTTACAGTTTCTAGTCCACAGTTAATTCGATATAGGAAATTTTTGAGGTGACCACTTACGAAGGTAGATATGCAGGACCAATTGTTGTTTAGAAAGTATTGGATTTTTCCCATCCTTACAAAGGTACCTCAGATTTCTTGAAAAGATAAATTTGTGTATTCGTTTTCTATATTGATTACTTAAGAATCCATGAGTCTGACCTGGCATCTTGTTGTCATTAGGCTTGATACAGCGGACGTAGGACGGTTCCTCCTTCATCAAGATGGCCATCAGCTGGTTCAGACTGGTTTTGAACTGGGTCGCAGTCTGGAGGTTTAAAGCAGGTTTGAAACAGGGAATTAAGTTAGATTACATTTTCTAAAACAAAATGCAGGTTCTACAGAGAGTCAAGAAGAACAACATGTCAACAAGGTCAACATAACTAATCAAACATCAAGCAAAAATACAGATGCTGGCAAATTTTGAGTAATTACGTATGGAATCCAGGATGTTAACCATACATATTTTGATGACCAACGGTTGGATTAAAACCTATAATCTACACTTCCATATTGTGTATTTTTTTTACAAGTTAGTATGTAGGTTCATTCACATAACAAGTCAAACACAAAGCAACAACCAGACACGCTTCAAATATTGTACAAAATCCAATAGCCATAAAACATAGTACGTTAGTAGTCTTTGAGTACACCACACAGCCTATCCTATGATTTGCTACCTTACAGACATACCTGTCCACCAGCACAAGGCTGTATGGAGGAAGGCCTTCCTGATGAAGAGAAAGGTGCAAGGAGGAATAAAAGAGAACAAGGGCGGAGAGCAGGGCGGCAAGACAGGAAACTTAATGTGCGAGAGAACACATATCAGCAACATCACCTTCCAACAAAGGACTCGTGCTATGCAGTTTATCTTTCAAGGTAGAAAGTAGCAAAGTACGATCTGCTGTAAGAGTATGAATACAGACACCACAGGAATATATTTTCATAGGACATATCTTATGCATAACAATTTGCAAAGTAACAGCTACAGTAGGTGCTAGAAATTAAAGGACACTGCATAGAGACATTTGCAAGAGTTGTAGAGCAAAAAGGTATAAATGATACAATTGCTACCACCAACATATCATAGGTACAGAGACTTATAAAACAGTAATCAATAGTTTCCCAGAAGGAAACCTCTCTCTTTTCTTATAACAGATGACTAATGCTGAAAAGCTTCATAAGATTCCTAGATGCTGGAGTTTTTAGACCATTGACTCACAGTGACAGGTCTCTTCTTATCATCCAGCTCAGACTTGGGGAAGCAGGAAGAAGTCACTTGGTTCTTACTCTCACACATGGCCTAAGATGAAAAGAGCAACACGTTTTATTTTACTTCAATGCTATTATTATCAAATTAGTGATTATCAAACATAAAAGACTTGTACATGTATATGGTTATTGTACTTCTTGCTGAAAACAACAGGAACAAATTGATCATGCTGCATATACAAATAAGCTTCAGTGTATACAGTGCCTGAAAGATATTTACCGGTAGTTGATGCTACAATAAGTCGAACTATATGTGGTTGTATCTACATGTACCTCTTTGAGGTCCCTGTACAGAAGGTCGTTGTTTTTATCCAGGAAGCCGGTGACACTGTAGGTCACATCTCCTGCGTAGTGCCTCAATCTGAACTCCTGAAAAACCAGAAAGTTTACATTATTCTTCTCCACAGGCTGACCAAATACCAAATTCCAACAGAGGTAATTTTCTATACCTGTATCTATTCATTTGTCACCTTTTGTGTCTTTTGTATCTTCAATAGAAGATGGCATCAATAGTAAAAAGAGAGTAGTGAATTTTTTTTCTTACATCTCTGTCCAATGTCTTCCTCGTCTGCACATCTCCAGTCCTGTGACTGGAAGACAAAATAAAGACATTTTAATAGTGTGGTGATGTACCTGAATCTACTGGTATTTCAATCTCGAAGATGTCAGGTTATAAAAGATATCCTTAGAATTCAATCCCTGGGCCCAAAAAAGCTTTAATAGATACAGATCAGTGTTAACATAGTCGTATATTTTGTACATGTACCTTTCAAATGAACTAAGTTCTGACAAAAAGTCTAGCAACCATTGCAGTAAGAAAAGGTTCTACATGTACTATCATATAATGACATACCTGACGAAGTGTGGATGTTCTCCCACGGCGTTCTCCAGCTTGGCCAGGAACGTCAGATCTGTGGGGTCGCCTGGCAACAGGCACTCCTCATCCTGGGAACAAGAGCAAACTCTTCAACCCAGGACACTCAGTAATAAATACCATGATCAACCATCTCTCTGACATGTCTTGATATAAAAACAACTTGAATATTTCCTTAAAAATCATACAAATCTGATGACACTTAACACAAGTGACAAGCATTAAAATGTCATGGACATACATTGTAAGAGGCTTAATAATGACTTTATATATGGTACATGTACATGTACATATGTTAGGTATACCCAGAATACCATACCAGAATAGAAATGATGCCTCTGTGCCTCTCCTCCACCAGGTCACAGATGATCTTATTGTTGAAGTAGGCTATAGGTTCCCACTGGAAAAGACATTGAAACAAGTGTCAAATACATGTACTCCAATAACAAACAGTTCCATATTGTTGTTGCTGGTGCCTTATGTTGACCACAGTATACAACCTGTGTGCTAAGAGGGCCTGCAAGCCCTTTTTTGTAAGGCGTAATCAGGCCGTTTTAGACTTCGTAATTCGTAGGCAGCCTCCGCAAAAATCAACGTAATTCGTAATTGGACATTAGCCGCAAATCGTAAAGTCGTAATCAGCTCTGAGACTTTAACGTAATTCGTAATAGGCACCTCTATCCCCTCACTCAGGTACTCCTCCTGTTCTGACTTCAGGGTCAGCTCGATGAACAGCTGCTGAAGTTTCTCATTGCAGAAGTTGATGCAGAACTGCTCAAAACTACAGAAAAAAATCAACAACAGATTTTTCTTAGTCCACACTATACAAAGCCTCAGAGTCTGACAAAAGTATAATGAGGGTCTGACAAAAATCATGATTCTTATCACAAACATTTTAGAACAGAAAACTGACAGTCACTGAGCTTACCTATTTTTCTGGAAAACCTCAAACCCATATATGTCCAGGAGGCCTATCACATGTTTCCTGTATTGTTCCTGAAGAAAGGACAGACAGAATATACAATGTACTTAAAGATTATAACTGGCTTTTGATTCCCATGAATTTTCCCATGAATTTTCCCCCAGTAGAGTCATCACTTTCCTTGTTTCTAACGTTGGTCTTTAAAAAACTGACTGATAAATGTGACATATCTGCTAGGATGACTCATGCCCCAAGTTTACTTAAAGATTCCTTGTCTTCTCTATAACAATGCTAGAAAAAGGGTCTCCTACAAAGTCCAACCCTGTGGTTGGTTGACAAAGCTGACCTTGTTAGCCAATGAGGTGTTGATCTTCTGGACCAGCCAGGTGAACATCCTGTCATACACAGCCTTGGAGAGGGCATCCCGGGCATAGGCAGCCTGGTCTTCATTCAGAGGAGACAACAGCTACAGAAATTAGAAAAAAGATATGATATGGAACATTGTATATACACATACTTTCAATGTAAGATTATTTTAATTTCATTCCATTCTTATATTCAACAGCATCATTTTTTCATACTGTCAGCATTTGATATCATTGTATAGAATGAAGTAGATAGCTCTGTAACTTTTAAGTTTGTAAAGGTTAGTACTGGAACAAACAATGTAAAAGTATTCACCTTTTCTCCCTTGGCTACGATGGTCCTGTGAGTTAGTGCCTTTTCCAGGATCTCTTCAGGACACTGTAGCAGCTGATATGGGAATTAAAGAACAATTGTTTAGTCCACAAAACATATAAACTACATTGTATAAGGGAATATTGTTCCGGAAATCAGTTCTAATCAATTTTGCCATGTTCAATGTCATCAAATCAGATTGAAAGGATTCAATAAGCAAAGTCAACTCTAACCTACCCTGGCCACTCTGTTGACTGGCATGGCGTCTATGATACCGGCCCTGTCTCCATCGGATGTGAAGACCACGTCTCCAAGGTGTATAATACTGGCCACAATAGACAGCAACTCCTAACAGGAAATTTCAAACACAATCACACATTCGATTTTCCTCTTCATTGATGTAAACTAAAAAGATTATATAGCTACAAATACGGAACATACATAAGAGTACAGTCTAATTACAAATATGAAATAAATGAGGTTTTAGGTCATACCTCTATTTCCTCTTGTGTGAAGTCGATGACTTTTAGTGCATTGTACACAGTTTTGAAGTCAGCTTTGTCGTCTATGGATGAAACTCTGGTGCAGTTACCCTTTGGAAATAGAATCAGTAGTATATATGAGAAAGTTTTCATGTAAGGTATCAAACAAAACGCATGGCATTGTAAAGAAGAATTTCTAAAGTATCAAACTCTTCCCAAAAATTTGCAATACAAAGAGGCAAATATATGATTTAATGTGACCACCCAGACCACATTGTTCTTGAAAGATTTCACATTCATTTCTTAAGAAAAAGGAGTCTTGACTAACCTTGCTGAGGTAAGCATAGCTGTCTGGTCTTCTCTCTAAGAAGAAGGTGTCTAACAAGTCCTGGTCTGCCCCGGCCAGGAGCTGGTAGAAGATGTGGAAGCTCCTCTCCCCCTCTGCCTGCTGAACCACACGGGACTTCTCTAACAGGTAGTTCAGGATGTGGCCACCTACTGGAGCTCCCTGGAATTACAACAACATCCTTTTAATGTGTATTCAACTGTGTTTATAGTATACACATGTATATCCTTCTAATGCTACAGTTGTGCATACTGGTAGCGTGTAACATGCACAGCAATTGTAAAATAATTCTTATGCTTCTTTTGTGAAATACATAACATATCATGAAGTCAACGTTTCTTATGCATGTAGATGAACCACCTTGCAGAAACTACAGACAGTGTCACGACATACTGATGATGTGTTGTTAACACACCTACCTTGTAGTCAAATTGTACGTCCATGTACTTGCCAAACCTACTGGAGTTGTCATTACGGATGGTCTTGGCATTCCCAAAAGCCTGAAAAGCACAGGAGGAGTCATCAATGTCCAACAGAGCTAAACATACTGTTTTGATTTATACATCTCCTTTTATCATCCATTTAACCACTAACTGTCACCTATTCCTATTATGTTTTTGAGATACATTTTATGAGTAAAAGTATAAGACACTGAGATTACATCAAAGAATGATAAAATCAATGATGCAAGTTGTTCATACACATGAATCCTACCTCAAGTACAGGGTTAGACAGGATCAGTCTGTCCTTTATTCTGTCCACATCGTGGCTGTGGGTACTGCACACTGCCAGATACTGCAACATTTTCTTGGATGCCTCTGTTTTACCTGCCCCGCTTTCCCCTAAACAACAAAACAAAGTTAACATCTTTGCTCACTGGTGCTGATAAAATACAAGTTGAGGTCTGCTTCTTAATTGTATTTTAGCTGTAGGAGATTTTCTAACTGGTTGAAAGGTGACACAAAAGAGTGTCTAAGTGTATAACAAACCTGAGATGAGTACACACTGGTCTCTAGCCTCTCCTCGCATGCTGCGGTAGGCATTATCTGCAGTGGCAAAGCTGGGCAACAAACAAGAATAAAGTTGTTACATTTATACATTTTTGTACAATACGTTAATTTCAATGACAAGTATCTAAGAATAAAGAGTGCTGAAGGAGCTAATGTCATTAAAGACAACTCCACATACACACACATAAATGTATTTGAACAATTCAAATCATTAGACTGGCTCTTTACTGTAGTTCAAACTCACATGTGAGGTGGCGCTTCATAGAAGTTGACTCCCCTGTATATCTGCATCTGCTCTGGGGTGTACAGTTTGAGGTCCCTGTAGGGGTTTACAGACACCACCACAGGGCCAATATATGTCTGCAAGTAGCAGCAACAATGAAACAGTATATGTTTAAACCACTTCACACAACAAGGATGATTAATTCTACATGAAATGAATAAGGGAAGATCTGTAAGTGTGACCAAAAACTGATGATTACTTCAAATTTATAAAAACAGTGAACAGTGTTGTATTAAAGAAAAATGATACTTTTAATGCTGCATTTTGTATCCCTGAATTTATTTGGGGCCATTGGACTGACTGTAAACAAACGTTAGCTCTGTTGACAGTCTTGTCTTGAACAATCAATTCTATTTGCCTTATAAAAACATCCATGTTGACTTAGTGAAACAACTTGAGATAAGGCACACACAGACCTATAAACTATAGCAAACATCTGAACCTGAGTTATTAGTGCATGTATGTGCATAAAAAATGCAGTTGAAAAACATACCCTCCCTCAAGTGTTTATATTCAGTTAAGTGTAGTACATATATCTTAAAGTAGATTACTGTGTAAAAATGCTATTATAAGATATGCCATATCCAAACAAACATTTGAAAAGTTGCTACTGTAGACATTTGGAAGCCCTTGTCTATACACAAGACTTAAGGAGGGTTTGTCAGTTGAATCAGGGGTTTGTTTTGATACTTAGACAAACATACATGCAGGAATTCAGGACATTCAGAGCATGAAGGAGACAAAACAGGAAAACAGTCCTGTAGTGACTGCGCATTTCTTGTTACCACTAGTACTGCAGATTTAATGATGAGGGTCTGGTTTGCACTAGAATGTTTCTGTTATGATGAAACTGTTTGATACCATATGTTGGTCAAGTTTAGACATTCAGGTAATAAGATACGCCCCCCCAAAAAACAGTTATTCAAGCAACCATATGTGATTTTGGAATACCATGTTCGATACCATGATTATCTAAAAGTGAAAATTAACTGTGGAGTGGATAGGTCAGGTTAATACTATTCACTGTCTTTATCAAAAATATTTATATCATCATATCAATAAACATAAGCAAAACCATTGTATTAAACCTACATATATGAGGTTGTGTTGGAACCTCTTGCGCAGGTTTTCGATGAAGGCGTCCTCGCTGCGATAGTTCTCCAGCAGCACGAAGTCAAGTACGCCGACCCGATCACGAGCACTCAGGGCCCCTTCCACGTGGTCCATCCTCAACTGTCAGCGGGCGCTATGTTGTCACTTCAATTCTGTTGGGAAAAAAACACTTAACTGAAACAGTGCTATGATGGCAGTCATTGATTACTCATTTGATCAAGTGTTGACACAGTTACCGTAAAACAGGAAGAGTGGCAACTGACTAGATTGAAGTGTACTGCATATATACTGGGCACAACTTCGCAAAACAAACAATCATAATTAACAGTTACTATGTCCTTGAGACAATGTTGAACAGTTACTGGGACTACGATTATGATTGCAAGCCCATCCTATCACACAGATTGTACATATCTAAACTGGGACACTACACGCCATAAATAAAGGTGTGGTTACCAGTGTTATTTCTATTGTAAGTGCCTGTACCATGGAAATTGGTGACTGTTTTAGCCAATCTGATTCAATACTTTGATTAGAATTCCAGGTGTGGCCCTGAAGCCTTCATCCATGGCCAGTACTTACACCTACACAAGAGCTACTCACCTTGGAGTTAGCCTTCCTGTTTTGCCTGGCTTACATCCAGCTAATAAACACAGGGAAAAGCTGTCCTAGCAGCACTACTGATGGCCAGGAATGTTCCCAATGTGGACTCAAGTTGGGGGTAGGCTATCAGTTATAGCCGTAGGTAAGCCAATCCAAGCAAAAAGGCTAGTCCCCTGGTTAAGTAGGAGGTATCATTTCTACTGCGGGAGTCAACAATCTCTATAGTGCCTTCTATCATATACACTTCCAGGGAATCATATACCAGTACAATGTAGAATCATGGATTTCTCATTACCAAAAATTGATATTAGGTATATGAGTTCATTCCACATATATTGGTCTAGTATTCTATTTGTATTATTGTCTCCTAAGTCATATGTAACATTAGAACCTAACAGAAAACTGTGTTAAGGTGAGGCAATTTGCACAGATGTAAAATGCAATTATCACCTAGCTAATTTGTACAGGATATGCATTAGTTAGTTCTTGATAATTAATTAGTTAGTATGAGGTGTCCAGTGTCGGCAGTATCAGTATCACAATACACTCTTCTCAGTCATTACAAGCCTGATTGATTTTCACACTGGGAGTCAATTAAATTTACTGCTATATGCAACAACACATTCCATTTCTACCTTTCCACCTTTTTTTGCTGTTAAGTTTTACTTGGACATGGTTCAAACTCTGTACCTGTTGACATTTTTCTTGCAGACTGGAGGAGCACTCTGGAGTAACCAAACTTGACGTTAACCAAACTGAAGGATGTTGATAGATTTCTGCAAACATCCGTTGCAGACAGGCTCTTCTAAAACATACTCATGCCTGTGGTATTTCTCTTAAGGTGGCATGGTCCTATTGAACTTGCTTCAATCAGACATCATGCCTCAAATGCTACTACCCCCACAGTAGTCTGTAAGATATACAGGAAATTCCAAGCCATGTTTCAGTCTGTAGATATTGTGCTTACAATGAATTGGTACACAAAGCCACAGATACAGGGCTGATGACATAATGTCGTGCTATACTAGTCTATGGTATAGTGGTGGAATACAAAGAAGGGTGACAGATGGCATGTCAAAAGCCTTTTTCAAGTTACTGGTATATCTGATTTGACACATTACCATGATATTTAGTATGCACCTTGACAAATAAAACAGCAAAACAGGGCGACCATTATAATACATACATGCATGATATTCTTAAAATCCCCTGGAAAACCTACTAGCAGTGGCTCTCATGTGTAGACACAGGTCAAAGACCACAACAAATAAAACGGAAACCTTTTAAAGCGATTTAGTCATGAACAGCAATAGCAGTCAATGAAAGGACTACTGTACATACAATGTATATCTCACTGGTGGGTTATTTTTTTACTTTTCAATGAAGAAATGCTGGTAACTTGCTGCAGGTACTAGTATAGAAATCATAACAAATTTGGTTAATGGTAAATGTACTGTTGTTTCTTACCTGTGTGCCGCAATTACACGAGCCTTAACATAGCTGAAGTAGAATTGTAAACATGAAACGAAGACGGTTTTATGAATCAAGCCTTAAAAACCAGTTCTGCAACGGCTTTCAATTACCAAATCCTCCAACCGTTACCCATGGCACGACCTCGCTCAACTGTCATTTTGACAACAAACACACAAGGCCAAACTGCTGGTACCTTTGCATTCAGATTTTACCTCACAACAATCATAAAGCGTTCCTAAAAGTAGGCCAACAAAATCAATATAAAAAGGTCTTGTCGACACGTGTCAAAAGTCAAAGCACAAGAAGAATTCCACTTATCTGCGTACTGAATTAGATTGGTCTGCATATAAACACGTGGGAGAGAGTCACTCGTCTAACTGGTAACAACAAAGGTTCAAAGACCTTAGCTGATGGGTGTGGCACAAATACAAAATACATTCTACAATGCCCAAACTTATTACACTGAGCACTCTAATTGATGTTAAGGTCCATTGCATAATAGTTTACTACAAAGCTCATAGAATATGCAATGAGCATAACAGCTCGCTCACTGTCGCAGCATTTTTTGATGATCGATATTGAAATCTAAAGGCATTATGATTAATGTTGCATGATGGAGCTAAGGGTAGTGACCTGCACAATTTTGTTGCTGTCATTACCATGACATTAGTCATACTAAAGAAATACAGGACTGGTCTAGGTCTTGCATAAAAGCTTTAGAGCTTGCTTTCGATATAGATCTTTTGAAATAGGACTCGGAAATATCACTAAAGGGAGCTTATGCCTTGAAATATGCTACAGAATTAGTAGCTTATAGCCTTAATGCTAATGTATACAAATCATTATATCTGAGCTGTTTGGGACCCAATGGGCTGACAAATGCTTGATAAAACAGTTATTAATTTTGCATGAGATGGTCTGGTACAAGTCCCAAAGGACTGGATCATCACCATTGCTATAGATAAGGCTGTAGTTATTATCTATACCTAACCATACAGTGTCCTTAATTGTTTTGACATCTGATACAGAATGAAAACAACCAAATGTTAACCACTTTGCATAAAATGGAGACCAGTGTTGTTTTTGATCAAGACATGAAAAAAAGGACAAAAATTCACAAGGGAATAAAATGTTGAACACAAAATGACCTTCTGAAAGTTAACCAGTACACCTCATATTTTACCCAGACATCTTAATTTGATAATGATCTGGTATTTCCCACCAGAGGGTTACCACAGTCTCCACTAATCAGGTTAACCGGTACTAACCGATTTAACATGGATTACACGGTCTGTACCATAGAAAAAACAATCATCCTAACATCATCAGCTTTACTCAAGTCAAGTGCTTAGCCATGTACTGGTGTCATTTCCCACAATCTGGCAGATTCACAACTTTAGAAAGCAGAGAATAGGAATAGAAAAAGTATAATTTTAAATCATCACGAAATGCAGTACATTGTACATGCCTGTCAATCTGTTGACCCGTATAGAATTGACTTGTCAGTTGCATGTACAATTGTACATTTAGATATTAAATCTGCAAATACATGTATATCTAGCACAAACACAATTATCAAATTCTAATGTATAGACAGCAAAAATATACATTTTCATTGCTCCAATCAAGTCCAAGTGTAGACTTTTTGCTGTAGGTAATACTAGTAACCCAGTGACCCTAGATTGTTGACACCTCAGTAGTACAGAGGGACATGTGTGGAACAAATTGATAACCTTAATGGGTTTACTTTACAAAGCAAACTTCCATGCCAAATTCCATTCCAGATCATCAAAGAGAAGCTTTTCTGGGTTTTGTGCTTTTCAGTCTAAACATTAATTCAGAAAACACTCAAAACATACCTGCCTAAAGCACCGGTGGGAGAACTATGAAGTCTTTATCCCTTGTTTTACCTCTAACAGGTGTGCTAAAACAACATTGGACCTTACAAATAGAAGCCTATGTTAGAGAGAACAAGACAAGGATCCATTCTGTTAGGCTTGTAGCAAGCACAGTTATTTGATTCCATGGGTCGCCCTAGATAAACTCATTGTTGACAGGTAGAATTAAGGTCTGAGCTTTGGCAAACTTGGGGAAGAAAGTCTGTCCAATTTCATACATCTAATATCTAGCTATATGTCACAGATAATGTGTGATGTTATCAATTTCAGTACCGTTAAATGATATCAGAAATGTTGAGCCACATTCTTAAGACATTATCTCATAAATTATGAAACTGTCCATTGAAGGTGCGGTTGATTAAAATGTTGGAAGTTTATCTACTAGTATTATGTGAAGCACTTTACATCATAGTATTGTTACTATTATAAGCAATGCTGCATGATACTTTAACCTTCATGGTTGACTAAATAACATGCTCTTTTAACCCCCCTCCCCTAATGCCCCTCATTGTATGTACATTGCGCCAGGTGTAGTGGCTAACAATGTGCTAACGTAACCAAAAAGGAATGTGACCTGTACTTGACCTTATGTTACCTTTCTTTATTTAACACTGAATTGATCTGACTGTACTTACCAGTAAGGTAAATAATGCCATGTGTTCTTTAATTTGTCTGGCGTCAACTATAAAGACTGGTTAGATCTAAATATAGGAAAAAAACCCTTTAATGTATATCAGACAAAGGAAAGGAGGAAGGAAAGGAGTACTCTTTGAACAATTTGCCTTTATCTCAAGAGCTTTCATTAAATTTATACTGGTATTCTTCATTCATACATAAACAGCTATATCTGAAGCCCTTGCCAATTATCAGAGAATTTTCTGTCACCTTTTCATAAGCCATTGGCCATGAAATCTGATTTTCAGCTCAAAGGACTTAAAAGCAATGCACAATTGGGGATGACCTTGAAATTATACAGGTCAAAGGTAGATTATGAATACAAAGTGGTGACTGTTGACTCAGCCAGCCAATCATGGACTGTGCCAGCTGTAAAATTTCTCACTGTTTTGCTGCAAGAATGTTTTTTTCTTTGTACAGGATGCTTTGCTTTCTTTATCCAATTTAGAAAATTATATAGGCAGGTACTAGTAAGTTATAACAACAATATGTAATCACCATTAAAGGCTAATGAAACCAACTGTCAACATATTTGAGCATATCAAAATAAGGCATGCCTTTCTTGGGATAGGTAAACCTGGAGGCAAATTTATGACAAAAACAATCATGATTTGGAACCATAACAAAGGCAAAACTGTGGTGACCCAAACTAATGATATGACCAGAGCCTCTGACTCATAACACTTTAGACTTAATCATAGCACTCCCACCTTCAAAACTAGCACCATATTTGGGCACCGATTCAGTAGGTTGGGGTTCCACAGGAGATGAGGTGACAGGAAAGGTTTGGGGCAACATCAATCCAACATGTGTTTCTTGTCTCTGGTACATTAACATTTCATGCCAGAATGAGCAAAAACCTAGGACTAAAATGGACAAAATGTGAAAAGATGATGTCAGAAGTACTCTTAGTAAATATGACCTCACCTTACCACACCTATATAATCAATAGACTAAATATAACACATGCTATATATCATTAATTTATGAAATATAATGACATCTAAATGAACAACAGGTTGTCCTGTTTGTAGCTGAGGCCCAATCAAACAACTTGCTAAGGCTATAGATGACATTATGATTTGTACTGTAAAAAAGGAAACATTGAATATGTAATATACAATATGTAAGATTGCATTTATTCATAAGGGTCTGCCAGGGGCGGTGGTTACAGATATGCATTTTTATTTCATTTTCAATCATATCAAAGCATATGAAATCAAAGGGCTGATGTTAGTGGGTAAATTCAGGATGTTTTTCTCCTCTGTATTTTCTTTGTAATCCAAAATTTTAGGACATGTTGCCATAACAAAGGAGCTTTAAAGCAATGAAAAAACAATGTATTTTGATCCACTATTTCCGGAAGGTAACACAAATAAATATATTTGAGAAAGACCTTGCCAAACAGAGGACGGCAGTTAAACAAGTCATCAGCCTGAAAATTCTACAAGCAAACAATGACATTGCCATTTACAACTGGCACCACTAACATTACTAAGTAACCATTTCAATCATTAACAGGTTAACAATCCAATGTTGAAACGGTAAGGTGATATTTTCTTCCTGTCAGGGGGGAAAACCAGTTATGGGTACCGTATGGACAATCGCACCAGACGACAAGAACCAACAAGAGCACAGTGCACACGTTGTTTACGCTGACATGTTAACATGCCAACATCCTGTTGAAAGTGTCAACAAAGTTGTGTATCTATCACTCTCAACTAGATGCAATTCAAGACCTAAATGCGATTAAACAGTCACACATATGGCTTAGAAATGTGTGAGTTGAGCTGCTAAATGAATTCCCAATATCTAAAAAAAGATAAATGAATAGGTGGACAAGGATTTATTAGGTAATGTCATATCAAGGAGCTTGGAGCTCCTTGGTCATATTCAATTATTTAAATAGAGACTCAATAATCTATTTAACAACTTTTATGTGCATCAGAACTAAAAATCTGCTTCTCATTTCCCAGCAGAAGATTTGGAACAAAGGATGAGTTGATGCAGACACTGATGTGACATGACGTAGACTGATGAATGGAAGGATTTGTTGAAGACGTTTGACAATCTTCTGACGTCACGGATCACTCAAGGAGAGAAAAAACAAATCGCCGGCTGGTTTAAAACACTTCACTTTCACCATTAAACTTGAACTTTCCTCATTAATTGTTTAGCCAAAGTCTTTTTTCCACAGGAATGTTAATTATTCGTGCAGGCATGGGGAATAAACAGTGACTGTTACCTGTCTGTCGCGGCCGCCGCTCTGGAATGTTGGTGTACTCGATATCGTACCGGCCCAAGAGTTTCAGCCACACCCTGAAGAAAAAGCCGATTTCTCTCCAATTTCCTCTCAGAAAAGGTCTGGCAAGGCCTGGAGTAGAAGGTTACGAGTCTGAAATGGTGGGAAAAGTCCACAAATGTCTCTTGTCGTGATAAAATTGAGGTGGAAACCAAAATTCAGACGACTTTTGTGCGCTCCGGAGTGCTCAGCCGGTCTTCACATTGGTCCTGGCGTGCACGACCTTTGACATTGAGGCTATTCCATAAACTCGCAAAACTTAGAAGAAGATATTTGTTTATGAAACTAAAGTAAAGATTTCATAAGTCATCATTTTAAGAAAAGAATAACATTAGGCAATACTTTCTATGGCATTAATTAATGACGAAGGTGAATAAAACTGGTACAAAATTTAGAATCAATAAACTCTCCCTTCAGATGAAATGGTATCTCCTAAAAGGCGGGAAATTTGAATATCTGTGGTGCTCAAGGCTGAAATTATTTTGCCGCAGAGAATTACCCGCAAAGTTTCATTCTTATTTCGGAAAATGCGGCATTGTTGCTTTATGATAGGCTGACATTTTAGTCCGTGTATTTTGATTTAGAATTAGGCTGATAACGTTTCATGTTTACCTTGCTCCAAAGTATGTATTTTATGAGGATAAACTACGAACTATCTTAATATAAAGAATGGATCATATTGCACACTAAGAAGATTGCTTTCTTTTATTGTCTGTTTTACTTTTATGTTAGTTGTTATCTTCGGACGTATGACGCAACAGCTGTGGTGTGCACTGGTGCCACTAGCACCATCTACCGGAAGAAAACGGCACTGCAGATAGGGGTCAAAGGACAACAGCTGTAGCGCCAAACCAAACTCTGGCACCAGGATCCGCATTGCTCAACAACCTTTGTACTTTATCAGGCGATCGTCCATTTTCACACTGGACCTAGACCTAAGAGACTGCTGTGGAGCGGCACTTCGACTGGACTGGGCACAAGCAGACATGTCTTTCCTGACGGACTACCTTCGTCTGGACGATCCGAACTTCCTGATAACGGCAGTTCTGATCATGTTCAGCCCGACCTACTGGAACCTCGTGGCTAGGTGGGTGGCTGTGTTGTTTTGATGTCCTTGAAATCACTGCAATATACAAAGATCACTACAGCGTTGCGAAATGGCTCTAATGTGTTAACGTTGTTTAATTAACCCTGGACAAATGAAACTTGCCATTTCTTTCACCACATTAATCAATCGGAATGTTTAAATGAATTTTCATGATTTTTATGACCTTTTTGGATTAAGATTGGGATCCTTGAATCACATGTAGTTCAGAGATTGTTAAGATAGAGCAACCAGCACCATAAAAGGCTCTGGCAGTCTTCCAATGCAGTTATAATGCAACACCTCATACAATTAAGTCAATTAGCACATTCGCTATATAAGTACATGTATGTAACATTATGCCACACCATTTTATACATCAACTCTTTGTCATTGTGTTTATTGCAGGTCAGAGTATCGTACTCACTGGGTCACCCGTCTCTTCCGGTCAGCCCGTGTTGGCTGTAGTGTCCTGGCGGTCAGCATCATGTTGTTGGGTCTGCACAGGGACTGGTGGTTCCAGCAGACGCTATACAGTCAGCCCAAAGCCTCCGCCTTACAGCTACCTGTCCTAGGGTATGCTGTCATTGCCATAGGTGAGTACATGTACTAGTAGGGATGCTGTGCATGGTATTTGGATTTGTATCTTATAAATCGTGCACGAATGGCTAAGTGGTGTGTCTAGCAGGGTACGAGATCAAGAGGTCACGGGTTTGAATCCTGGCTAGACATTGTCCTTTGCAAGGGTATAATTTCCCTCACTCCACCTGGGTGTAAAATGGGTACCTGATTTAAGTTGGTGAGGTAAAAGGCTAGCCATTAAAGGAGAGGGATGGACTCTAGATGTGGATTAACAACCTACTGCCACATAAAGGCCTACCTTTACCTTTAAGTAGTTTACCTACCTATCTTTTAACTCAAAAAGTTACAGCTTCACATCAGTGAGTGATTTGTTTGCATATCCTGTTGTATCAATCATTTACTGGTACTTTCAAAGCTACTTGTACATACAATACGCTATTTGGAAACATCTTCATGATCAGGATATCTTTTTTTTTCCCACAGGAGCATTGTTGGTCCTGAGCAGTTTCTGGGCACTCGGCTGGTATGGCACGTTTCTCGGAGACTACTTCGGAATGCTCATGGACGAACCAGTGACCAGCTTTCCCTTCAACCTGGTGTCAGACCCCATGTACGTGGGCACTACCATGAATTTTGCGGGGGTGGCCCTGCTGGAGGGGAGCGTAGCTGGGCTGGTCCTAGCTGCACTTGTAGGGCTCTGCTACAAGGTGGCGCTGTTATTTGAGGGGCCTTTTACAGAAGAGATTTACAGAAAGCGTGATGCTGACAAGAGGAAAGTCTAACCTACATTCCGAAATCAAAAACTTCACTCCAGATGTCAACTTCTCAGAAACTCATTGATTCAGTCACACTCATTGACTTCTCAAAACTAATTGACTTTTAAACTAATTGACTTTTTAAGAAAAACTAGAGGTCACACATTCCTCTCTTTCAGCCAGTGCCAGTAAGTTATTTCTAGCATTAGTATGTGAAGTGATTAGGTGCCTTCAATGTCCCACCTATATTTCTATTACTATTATTACATTGATCATCAGCATCAATGTTGCCAGTATTTTGTTTGAGTCCTGTCATGATACTTAAATTTTATACAATGTACATTGTATTTAGTAATACATGAACACTATGATTGATCCTTTTCATGGCTTTCATTGTGATATACTTCAATAAACTGGTAGTTTCAATATAAGAATCCTGAACAATTCTCCAGAAAGTTTTAAGAAAAAAATAAAAATCAGATTTTCTTCCCATTCTTATTGAGGACTTAAACTTAAAAGGTTGAAAAAACCGTTGAATGTATTTCCATAGCTGGAATATAAATGTTTACCTTGTCCATACATATTCAATCAGTGAATACAATAAGAAGCCTAAGAACAGTAATAAACATTTTTATTACAATTTGCATTGACGAGCATAAAACAAGCCGACTCGCCCCAATGACTTACACTCTTTAAACAATTTGCAACACACAATAAGATCCAAAGCTTAGCTACATAGACAAATAAATATCATATCTTACAGGCACAATTTATGGACAAAATCATATCATTTGCAAAATAACAATCTGCCCACGTTCAAGCAGTGAATTCTCAAGCAAAAAAAGCACATTTACAACAAGTGCACAAAAGTTTTCGCCCTTTATAATAGAAAAGGTACAAATGTGATAGCGACCATGTAACTGTACAAATTATAAAATTTCATATTTATGATTATTGTATCAAATACTGTGATTAAAGGTTGTCAAATTGTCCTAAACTGACCACACAATTTTCTGTCACACAATTCTCTGCACCTAAACCTAACTAGATTCACCTTGTCCAATCATTTTGCCAAGGAAAATATCCTTCTGTTACCTAGCTGTGGGTATCAAAGCTAACCTAACTAAGGCACATCTTGTTTATACAATAACTGAAAATTACCTAGTACTCAGTATCATTGGAAAGTTGCTCAAATGTATCTGCTTGTTACAGAGGATAGCCAATATGACAATTCTTCATAACAGATGTGAATAGACATGTACACCAGTACCTGTGACAATATAGCTACATGTATTTCGAGAAACCTATACCTACATGTAACTATCTACATGTACAATGTAGATGCAGTGACATATTTGGCAACACCACAGGGGCAGATCACCCACCCAGACTACCAGTGATTTCCTACATCCCAGGTTGTAGTTAGAAATTTCAGTGAAAGTCATGGATTTAAGATAATAAGGAATTCTTTTCCTGGTACTGTCAAGATATTTACTATGTCAAGATATATCTTTCATAGGAATAGTCATGGTTTACATTGACTTGAAATGACACAACTGTGATTTCAGTTTAACAAAGTTACAAGTACCCATTGGCTTTATCTGAATGGATTCCTATATTTTCCCCTACTGAATTCAAAAACTTTTCCCAGTTCCACATTCTTCTACTCTACTGCCTAGTGATACATGTAGAAATCATTCAATGTAATATGCATTTGACCATGTGTTTGCCCTTAAAAGTCATGTTGTACTGTATTTGTGCTTTGTCAGCACTTTGAAGACTGGAGCAGTTTTTCGTTTGGAATGATTCTTGTGCCATTCTCCAAGTAAACCATCCTCAAAGGTCCGTTTGGTTTGCTTGGCGGAATTTTCACAATTTTGGAACCCGGTGAACCGGGGACTTTCTTCGGACTGTTTGCACTGCTGGGAAGTGTCCCGTTGGCCATGGACGATCGTCTCTGTTCTTCTGCGATGAGCATGTCCACCTGCGCCGCAGCGAGCATGGTTTCCTCGCGAATCTTGTCCTCAACTGACTGCTGGGACGGTCTACGAGGGCCAGACATGCTACCGGTAGGTGTTGGGCGGCTGGGGTTGGTGTTAGGGACCGCCTTGTTGTGTGGTGAGTTGGGGTGGACCGGTGTAGCGGGAATTGCATTATGGGAGTAAGGAGGGGGAGCGATGCTGGAACGGGGTGAGCTGGAGGTTGATGGGGGGTTGGAGGACAGGCTAGAACGAGGTGAGCCTGGGTAAGGTGGAGGGCCGATGCCCATTCGGGGAGGGCCGGGGTATGGTGGGAGTGGTTTCACCCTAGAGGCACTCACATTCATAGGTCCATTAGAATGCTGGCTCCCCCTTGATCGTATAGAGTTTGTGGGACTGTCCGGTCTAGCAGGCTTACTAGCAGGAGAACTGGCCATGTTGTCCATCTCTATTGCTTGTGGTTTACTCTTGTCTGGAGGTTTCATTTTGTCAGGAGGGGAGGAGAAATATTGCCGAAGCTTTGCGAACGCTGGACTCTGATTCGGTAAGCTGTTCGTCGCGGGAGGCCTGGGTTTGATGTACGCTGGCGTAGCCGATGACACAACGCTTTCCACTGGAGATTTCAAGCTTTTTTCTGCTGGAGGGGCCTTCCTGTCTTCCTTCGATCTGTGCGATCGTTTCTCATGCTTTCCTCCATCAGATCTGTGGGATTTGGAGGAATGTTTGCTCGATTTCACAGAATTTTTGTCCACATCAACAGACTTTGCGGTGATTTCAGGCGTTCTCCGTGGGCTCCTGTCCACGATGTGGCACGAGTATGGAGAGCTCGGGTACTTCATTTTTAGCCTCGTCGGCGTGGATGACCCGTCCTCTCCGCTACTGGACACATTGGAGTCGGAGAGGTCAGAGGGGCGACTGCTTCTACTGATGTTGTCATAATACGGAGACGGAGTCCTCAGCGGGGTAGGTTTGGGCGGGATGTCTGGTTTGGGAGGAATCTGCGGAGGCGAGGTGTCGGAAAGCGTGGATGATTTCCTCGGAGGAGGGGTGGGCTTCTGATTGGATGGTCTCTTCTGGTTCAGCGCGGCCTCTCTCCTCCCCATCATCTGCTGTGCCAGGAGCTTCTGCTGAGTCTCAAACTTGGATATTCTCTGCATCTTCTCCACGGCAAGTCTGTAGGTTTCCACGTCCTGAAGGACCTTCTCTGCTAGTGATATGTTTCCTTCTCCCTGCTGGGGAGTTGGTTTTTCTTCCACAGGCGATCTTGTTGGACTAGGAGCAGGAGAAATCTGCACGTCACCTCCTGCCCGAGAGTCTTCCACGAGAGTTGACGTCGAAGCCGTGGAAGCGTTCGAGTGTTTGCTACTTCCCGAAGCGCGCAGATTCCATGACTGCTTATTATCCCCGTCGTCGTTGGTCTGAGAGGAATTGATGCTCAGCGAATCAGAGTCTCTTCTAGGAAAGCCAGGGCCAACTTCCGGGAAGTACCCCTGGGTGGGGCCCATTTCAAACAAGCTCTTGCGACCGTGGAGTCGCGATCGCCTTCTCGGAGGGGTAGGAGGATTCACGTCCTTTGTAACCGATGTCACCGGCGAATCTTTCCCCTCTGTTTCTGATAAATCCTTGTTTCCTGAAACTCTTTGGTTGTTTACTGTTGTATCCACTGATGTTTGTGGAGAAAGTTTGTTTACGGGAGAGTCTCTCTCTGCCTCCAGGCGAGATTTTGCGAGCGGCGTTGATGTCATGTCAGAAGGTAGATGCCTCAGATGGGCAGTAGTGCTCTTTGGTGTCTCCTCAAGTTGTGGAGAATGTCCGCCATTTTGTAGCCTGTTTGACAATGCAGCTTCAGGAGATGCCCGCGCTACGTCAGTGTCCAGCAGGCTGGACTTCAGGTCGTACTCCTGTGGCCGTACGGTCGCCGGCGGCCATTGGGGCAGTCTGGAGGGCGTCTCACTGGTGTTGGCTTGGCTGGGAGTGCGTTCACCGTGCATGTCGGGGATACCATAGGAGGAGACACTGTAGGAAAACAAAGATGTCCTTGTGAACTGCAGTCATACAACATTATGCCACCTTACCACAAACTGATATCTCACAATAAATAAAAGTCATCAGAAACACACGATCTTACTCTATTATAGAGATTCCAAAGGCTTCCAACTCTTTTACTTATTTGCTTAATCCCTCCCTGCTGCCTAACCCCATAACTGATAGAGAACTGGTAGCCAGATACTTCAATAGGCTTAGGTTACAAAATCAAAATTTAGAAGCCTCCAAACATGTAGATTTCCCAGGCCTCACCTGTAGAGAGAAGCCCAGCTCAGTCTCCTCTGGTCCCCTGCCTCCCCCTGGGGGGTGGGGGAGAGACCCTCCGCCCTCTTTGGGACGGCAGGGACTGACGTACTGGACTGAGACGATGACAGGCTCTCCAGGGATGAGGAACTTCCCAGGGTCAGACTCTTGGGAGCCTCAGATGTGTCTGTAGAGTTGAGATCATAGCAGTGTTAAAAACCTTCTAACAACAAAAAACAGGAAATCAGATATTTCCGACTACTGGGAAGTATGCAATCTTTGCCTTCCTGAATTCCCCCATGGCAACCTCTAATTCTTACTGGCTCTCGGCCAGATTCTGAGACCTTAGACCTCCTGTCATTCTGATCTCAATCTTCCGCACCCACATGCTGTCAACCAACTCTGTCCAGAGAAACAGATACACAAACCCACTGCTCAGCTACCCAAAACAATATTTCCAGACTAACTTGTTGTTGCTGAGCTTAGCTGAGAAAGATACCAAAAAGTAAGCAGACATTGTTACCACAACTCAACTAGAGTTTGACAGAACATTTCTAAGTCTTTGTTTACATGTATTTTGAAGCATGTCTTACCAAAGATGGCCAGTAGTGCAGACAGAGCAAACTGGAGGTTTCTCTTGTTGGCATGTTTCCCTGTCCTCATGGTCACCTCATCCTTCCCAACTTCTATCAGATCAAAACCTGGGAAACACAAACATAACTCAGTTCATCATCTTTTATATGGATCTACACTGTTCAAAGGTATCAGATTCTATATCTTCACATAGAAGAAACCATAGCAAAACCATTGAAAAGTGATCTACATGTATGTCCATCAGAAACTTACCGATAGATGCGAGCAGCTCATGGCAACCCCCCACCCTCCAGAGGCGTACATTGATAGGGACCTGAACACTGTCTTTGGTTGTCAGCTGGGACAGGACTGACTGGAGCTGTTGGAAAGAAACAAGATATCAGTACATGGCAATAGACGATGTATACATGTACGTTGTATATAAGTATATACCAAAGTTACATGAAATACAGTGTACATATGGGAATTGCAACATATAAAAGGGTTGGTTCATGACACCATCAGAATGCTTACAAATTCACTGTCAGAAACATGTCAGAAACCAAGTCAAATTTTTCATATCAAGAAGATTTGAGCACATTATACTGCATACATATAAATAAAAAGACATATTCTTACCAGTTTGATGAGTGCCTCGCCTGCCTCTGGAGCCGAGACAAGTTTTGAGAGTGCAGCCAGTGAGTTTGGTGGCAAACCTGGGAAGACAAAATTAATGTAAACCTTAAATATACAAAACATACATGTAAGCAATTTTTCTATTGCAAGTTGTGTTTCACTACATGAAAATGCATCATGCTTCACCTCAATTGAGGATGAAAAAAGATGAAGAAGAAGAACAAATTATTGACAGCGCCATGGTATAACAGAATATCAATCTTGAGTGACACAATGCCAAGTAAAGAAATGAAAAGTAGTATTATAAAGGTGTTTACTTACCAAGTAATGCCTGCAGACTAGTGCTGCACTGTGTCAGTCTCTCTCCTGGATCAGCCAATGGAAAGAAGACACTTGGCGGCAGCCCATTGGCCGCTGACTCAAAGTGGAAGCCCACGGATATGAGGAGGTTCTTCCACCCCCGGACTGGTCCCACCTTGTTCTCGATGCTCTGTTGTGTGGTGTACATGGAGTTGTGGGGGCCATGGTGGATTCTCTGTAAGGACTTCTCCACCTGTAGGTATCAAAAGTGTCATAAAGATCAGAGCACTGCCACTGAACTGAAGTTCCAAATACAATCACTAGGTGGTGCTTAGGGCTACTTACTAAACCACTAGTAAAATTTAAAAGATTTCTTTAAAAACAAAAATCTCTTCTATGTGAAATATAGTTGGGTAACTCTACTTTGCTCTTCCACATACTGTAAATCACTTGATGTTCACGGTAGCAAAATTTCACGGTCTGAGAAAAATGGACATGTTCGCAGAACTAAATGTTCACAGTGGCGGTAGGTGCAGAAGAAAGAAAGTTGGTAATTTTTTTTTTCGGTAATGATAAATTTGCGGTACAGAAATGACTGCAAAGCCGCAAATATAAAAGTACCTCGAATATAAATTGATTTACAGTATCTTGATTGCAATTAGCGTATAAATTAACTACATGACTGTCAAGTAATAAAGTGACATACCAGGTGCAGTAGAACCCTCATGGCATTGCGTGTGCGGTCTGGAGTCTGGAGCAGCTCCCCGAGCGCCTGGCCCATGAGCGCTGCCTTGCTGCTGAGCTTCACATCGCAGCCCACCAGCATGAACCCAGCCCAGTTGGACGGGTGGGAGAAGGGCTTGGTGTTTTGTACCTACAGGATAAACAACAAAACAACCATGAAAAACTTGCTTGGATTTTATGACTATGTATTTAAGCAGAACATACTGCACCTGTGCAATACCGGTAATGTATTGCGCACTTCAACAGAATGTCTCATGTAATTTTGTACTCGAGTATATAATGTTAACATCACGTCTGTAGTTTCCAAATGTTAAGTCGGAAAAGATGTCGTCTGCAACAGACAAAATTCTGATGCAACGTTGGCCAAAAATTCAACGAAAACCATGAAAAATCAGGGTTTCGCTCAGACGCAGAATGTTCTGCCAACGTGCTATATGGTTGTGGTTTCAAATCTAACAGCAAGTGACCAGAGCTGTAGGAATACATGCCCTTTAAGTTCAAAATGTATCTATTTTCTGAGATTATATATAATGAGTTTGTCCTAACTATAACTAAACCTATGAAGACAAAGTGCCACTCACCACTCTCATAGCTTCACACATGGCCTCGCTGGCCATCAGTCCCTGCATCAGCCCTCCGTAGAAGGCCTTCATGAACAGGCAGCAGGCCAGGTCAGGCACCGGCCACAGGGACACCAGGGCACACTGGGCGCCCGCGGCCAGGAACGCCCGCGTCAGACCCACCACACCGTCCGCCGTGATGCGACTGTGGGACTCCTGGTGATGGCAGCTGATCACAACCTGTGAACATCAAGTAATGTTTAGTTTAGAACCATAGCACAACAGCAGCAAGGACTTATGCATAGCAAGATTTGGACAAGACAGTCTAGATATTACATTTTGCAGCTTGTACAAATTCATTCTTCTAACTTTACTTATTTGTAAGACAATCCAGCGGAGTAAAGGAAACTTACTTCTTGATTCAAAGCTCAAGTCTGTGTAACATGCCACAACAATGCCCCAACTGATAACAGTTGTACTGATAGAAGAATGGTATTATCGTAAGTCCTCACCAGTTTGGCACACAGCTTCAGGTTCAAGATGTCTGCTGCCGTCAGGAGGAAGTCAGACAAGGACGGGGCGTCCGTGGTGCTCTCAAGGTCGCTGTCATTGTGAAGGTCATGGTTCAGGTCCACCTGTTCTGGACTGTTGTGGACGGCATGGTTACTGTTTCCACGGTAACCCGGAGGACTCCTAGGTTCTCCAGGCGACAGGACGATCGCGGATAGTCTCCAGTTGACGTGCGTGGAGAAGTGGACACACTCCGCGCTGGAGATGATCTCCATGACGGATTCTTTAGTCGCCATGGGACCCAGTAAGGGTTTGACTCCCAGCATCTCAGAAATAATCCTGGACTCCTGCTCCGCAGCTGGCAGCGGGTCGTACGACCACCTCTCTAACACGGATGGTGGCAGCTTGGGGTTCCCTAGTACAAGCCCTGGCAGCACGTCCGAGGGCCTCGACTGTGGGTGTCCTTGCTGGTTCATGCTGAGTGCCTGAATGGACGGCGTGACCACCAGGCCGTACCTCTCATACAGGCACTCATTACTAGAGCTACCCTTCAGGACAGCGAAAGGCACGAGGTACAGGTCTCCATCCAGCACCAACACCAGCTGCCCTGCAGGCGACTTCGGTCCGTTCATTCTGGGTAGTACGTCCTCCATGGGGGAAATCAGGAGGTCGTACAGGGCGCGTAACGGCGGTTTTCCCGACCAGGGCCTCCGTCTCCTCCCCCCGCCGGTCCCGATGCTGGCGGTTCGAATGCTGCCAGCGGACAGGCCGGAGAACTGACTGAGCAGGGAGTTCATGCTGGTGGTGCTCTTGTTGAAGACGTGGTTACGGTTGATAAGCCGGAGGAAGGTGCTGTTGGAGTGCATGCTCATCTCTTCTGCCTCACTCTCTGTCTCACTGGAAGACCTGAAAATGTACCAGATACAGTTAGAATCTACGGAACAGTACAAGAACGTTCTGCTAGTAAAAATGCGCAAAATTGTCCCAAAATTGTCCAGCCTGCACAAAAAAACATGAACAGACACCATTCCAGCAATATTTTCAGTACATGTATTCATACATGCAGTCAAAACTGCACAAGTGACCATCTCTGCATCATATTACATGTGCATTTTTATATGTACATTTTTCCTATTGATACTAGCACAAAAAATCCTGTCTACAGTATAGTGACCACCAGTCCACGTAGATTTTATTGGTCCCGAGTGGCCTTTTCGGGCGATTTTGACTGTACATTTACTGAGAATGTATCATCCTAAAATGAGACACTTTTCCCCGTACATTCAGGGTTTTGGCTCAATTTTTTCAGGACAATTTTACCTTGGGATGCTTGTCTCGACTCCCAGGGCCTCCCTGACATGTGACACGTACTGGTCCAGTACTGACGTTGACATGGCCACAGACACGTTGTCCTTCTCTGACAGTCCTGACAGGGGAGACTCTCTCTCCGACGGCAGGTGACTGTTCAGTTCATTCATGTTACACTCATGGAACTTCACAACTCCTGAAAGTACAATAGATTTTATGTGAATAGACAATCTTAGGCTGTTCTTGTCACCATCTATTGTGAACAATGCAACAGTCAAGACAATACTATATGTATACACATATCATGAATCTCAAAAATTCATTTTTGGGAATAGGTACACTGGTGCATCTAACCTAAAAATTTACTAAACGTGCACAGAAACTTTCATGACTATGAGATAAATGAACCCCATTTTATACTGGACTACAGCTAATTTCAAGCAATACAAGACAGGTTTTCTTTTTTTCTGACACTTACTTTAAATGTAGAAATGAATATGCTGTACACTAGTGTACAACAGTATCATAACATATGCCAAAAATAAGGTGTATGGCTCTTAATTTTGGGTCGAAGAAAGTGCATATCCAACTTGTATTTCTAGCCCTGCACATGAAGTAGATAGTATTAAGTGATGAGAAAGTGACCTTTGTTAGGCATGATGAGCCAGCTGTACAGGTACCCCACAGCTATGGAGTAGTACAGGACCGCGGCCTTCTGTCTGTCCACGGCCGCCACGATCTGTTCCACCGTCACCGGCGACGTGTCCATCACGCTGCCCGCCTCCGAGCCCTGACGCTCCATCAGCAGGTCGATGAACGCTCGCGTGCGCCCGCGCTCGGCGATGGCCAGAGCTTCCTCTTGTCTGCCCAGACTGACCAACACTCTTTGTAATGCCTGTGTGGACATGAGATAGAAACTTGTAAATCATTCTACTTTACTTTCTGCCAGTATTGACCAAGGTAAAATGCTTGTTATTAGCTTCGGCTATGGCTGAACAGTCCTATACAAGAATGACAGTCTATACAGGGTATTTGTAAGCTAATTCAGGTCTGTTGCAGAGTTCTTTTCAGACGCCAAAGTCAATCCAAAGGTTTTACACTAACCTTAGTTAAAGGTAGAATGTACACAGTGTGTCATACAAGATAAGATTATACTTAGTCTACTGTACTGGAACTTAAGTGCATTGTTCTTTATGAAATACATGCATCCTACAGTAGAATATCAGTTAAACATTAAAAGACTGTACTTTACAGGGCCAAAACTTTACAGCTATATACAGTTCTTGATGCGACTACATGTTCTCTATGTGTCAACATACCTGGTAACAAGCTGTCTGCATGTCGAACATGTTGAGTTTGTAGTCACTGCTGAGGAGCGAGTCTCTTCGGATGGTCTCAAACTGTGCAGCAGCCTTGTACAGCTGATGCTGGGACTCTTCTAACTCCTGGTGGGACCACAGGGCCAGTCCAAGTCTGGGGAGTGGGAGAGAACAATCAGTACCAGGGCCAGACCAAGTCTAGGGAGGAGGTTTAACAACGAGTGCAATGTACCACTACATTGTACCATAGGACATCTCCATTTTGTACGGTGTATCTGATGTTTCGATGAAGGTTAGACATCCAGGTAATAAGATATCAAAGTAAGAAGTACTCAAGCATTTTGAAAACGGTCAGACATTTCAGGTAGCAGTCATTGCTACTACCTTTTGTCAATTGACTGTTAGGATAAATCCCTGTTAGGATAGGCCTTTTATTTTAACCTTTTCCCTGTTGCTTGTTGCTGTGAGCAATACAAATTTGATGTGAAAAAGCTACCTTAGCAGGCTGAAGGTTAAGCCTGGATTCACATTTGCCACCCCACCCAACTGACAGTGCAGCAGCGCCCCCTACATGTACCTGTATCTGATCCTGGCCTCGTCCTCCCTCCTGCCCAGCTGTTCTGCGATGCCCAGCCCCTGCTGCAGGTACGTGATGGCCTGTGAGTAGTTCCCCAGGGCGTGGTGAGTCCTTCCCAGGCTGCCGTACGCCAGGCACTTCGCAACCTGGTCGTTCATCTGAGCAGCTAGAGGGGAAGAGATTCGGACATTCAGTAACTAGTCTGTAATGGTTACTCTTGAAGTGATTGGCCATTAATCATCCTGATAAAGGCATAAGTCGTTGAAAATTTAATCTCTTTGTCCTCATTGTGTTCGAATAAAGTTCAACATTGGAACAACTAGGAACTAATCTGTTTTTTTTTGCTTTTCATATTTCACTCCATTTCGTTCCATTTTGCACTTTCTGTACACCAATGCAGGACATGCTGGAATGTCAGTTAAAAATTTCAACCACTGGACTTTGTAGGGCCAAAACTTTGCAGCTATCTACATGAATTTACCTTTAGTTACTTCAGAATCTGTAAGTATAGCTGGGGACTAACCCTAAAAGCCCTAAATCCTTTTCCAAGACACATCTGCAACAAAACTTACAGATTTTGACAAATTAAAGAAAATGCAAAAGAAGAACCTACCAATGCTGAGATGTTGCTCCTGGAAGAAGATGGCTTTCTGGAAGTTGCCCAGTGACTCATGGGTAACTCCCAGGTTGCCGTAGGCGCGACCTTGACAGGCAGGGTTGTCGTTCTCCTCTGCGATCTCAAGGTCAAGCTGGTGAAACTCCAGAGCCTTCTCAAACTCGCCTGGGGGATACAGATAGAGATCTTGGTCAGATATTCTATCAAAGGTGGGTTAGATTGACTAAACCTATGGATAGCTTCAGTCAGCATATCTGTGAGCGAAGTCACAAAGTCATGAATGTCATCTTAACTTAACACACTGCCTCAAACATGTACTGTATTCTTAAGTAACAGCATGAGCCAGTTCTGAGGTCTATATATATATCACAAGTCAAAAAATGTTCCAGTTTGAACATCTCAACACTCACCCATTTGCTGGTAGACTCCCCCTAGTCCACATGCAGCGTCAGCCTGGAGGTTTTTGTTGCCCATCTGTTTGGCCATCTCCAGCTGGTGTTCCAGGCACGATATCGCCTGCTCGAAGTTACCCAGGGTGCTGTGCAGGCACCCCAGTTCGCCGTACGCGGACCCCATGGCCTTGGCGTTATTCAGTTCATGTGCCACGACGAGTCTCTTCTCAAAACACACCAGGGCCTGCTGCAGGTTACCCATGGATCTGTGGGCATTCCCCAGGCCTCGGTAGGCTCGGTCCTGGTCAAACAGGCTGTTAGAGTTCAGCGCTACGGTCAAATGTTGCTCATGATGCTTCACAGCATCCTCATAATCACCCAGAGCTTCGTAACAGTCTCCTAGATTACCGTACGCCCTCCCACGGTCCAAAATGGCGCTGTGGCCGTTCACCTGCTCCAAGGTTGCCAGCTGCTCCTCGAAGTAGCCAATGGCAGCTTCGAACAACCCCATGTTCATTTTGGTGATGCCTAGGTTACCGTACGCCTGAGCTTCGATGGCGCTGTCTTTCAGATCCTTCGCGCGTGCAAGCTGTTCTTCGTAGCAGCCGAGCGCGGTGGTGTACTTCCCAAGGGACGTGTGTACGGCGCCGAGGTGCCCGTGTGCTTTACACTCGCCCTTCACGTCCCCGATCTCCTGACACAGGTTCAACTCCTGTGTGTGGAAGTTCAAGGCTTTGTCAAACTTCCTCAGCAGTCTGTGGGCAGCACCCATGGCTGCGTAGGCGCTGGCCTCCAGGGACTTATTCCTGGCCTCCTTGGCCAGCACTAACTGCTGTTCATAGAACTTCACGGCACCCTCAGTGTCCTGTTTGGCCATCAAGGCATCTCCGATATTCCCCAGCGCTCTGAATTTTCCTTGGACATTTTTCAGTACGTGCGCTATGGACAGGAAATATTTCTGGCATTCCAGGGCGTTTTCTACATTCCCTAGTGCCTTGTGAGCAAGACCAAGGTTACAGTAGGCCTTGGCCATGGCAACCTTGTCCTGCATGTCCTTGGCAAGAGCCAGGTCCATATCATAGTAGTGCACAGCTTCCTTGTAGTTCCCCAGTTTGTAGTGTGCATACCCAAGGTTATGGCAAGCCTTTCCCTCCCCCTCAATGTCCTGTATCTCCTGTGTGATGTTAAGATATTTGTCGTAGTATGGCACAGCCTGACTGAACTCCCCCCTTGTACTGTGGTAGTTTCCCAGGTTGCTCAGTGCGCGAGCTTCGCTTGCTTTATCCTTTATCTCCTGTGAAATGTTCAGGTGACTGTGGTAATGCTGCAAAGCCTTGTCCTCCGCGTTTAGCGCCTGGTAGGCGACTGCCAAGTTTCCGTGCGTACTGGCCTCTGAGGCGCGATCGTTGACTGCTTTTGCGATGGTCAGCTCCTGGAGGTGGTACTTGACCCCTTGCTCCTGGTGACCTAAGGCACTGTAGGCATTTCCCATGTTGCCGAACGCCCTGCCTTGCCCGGCTCGGTCGTTACACTCAGTAGCTATGGCAAGATGGGCCTTGTGGAGTTTCAGCGCTGTGTCAAACTCCCCCTGCAGCTGGTAGATGATCCCGAGGTTGGAACAAGCCCGACCCTCGGCCTGCTTGTCTTTTGTACTCAGCGCAATGTTCAGCTGCTGCTCGTGGCAATGCTTGGCGCGGTCGTGGTCGCCCATGCAGCGTGCGGCGTGCCCGAGTCCGGCGTACGCCCTCGCCTCAAACGACTTCTCCTCGATCTCCGCCGCTATTTCCAGCACGCGGTTGTGGTGCGTCATGGCCTGGTCAAAGTTCCGTTTGTAGTGATACGAGCTCCCAAGGTTACTGTAGGCCCTGGCCTCCTCTTCCTTATTCTCACACTGCTTGGCGATCTCCAAGTGCTGCTTGTGACATTCGATACCATTGTCGAAGTCTCCCATCGCGAGATAAACGGTCCCCATGTTCCCCGTCTCCCGTGCTTCGAACAGTTTGTCGTTGATCTGTTTGGCAAGGACGACGCACTGCTTGTGGCTGGCCAGGGCATTCGGGAAGTCTCCCACAGAGGTGTAGACATGACCCAGGCTACTCAGGGCTTTGGCTGCAACCTGTGTTCATGAGAGAACAGAAGTTTGTCAATGTTACTAAATTTTATAGAACACATAAAATTTAAGAACATTATTAAATGTCACAAAAGGAGCAGGAGTAAAAAAATCCCAACAAAAATTGTTTTTCATAAAAGAATGTGCTGAAATGCAGCCTTGCAAAAACTTACTGACTTTGACCTTGTATCAGTTTAGTCGGAATGTATGTTTATATAAAAAAAGGCATGCAAAAAACAATAACAATATTTGAAGATTGGATACTTGGATAATTTTTTTCCACTGACACAGGCATTAAGAATCCTGTCTATTGTGACCACCTTTCCACCCAGATTGTATCCATCCTAAGTGGTCGTCCTGGGCAGTTAAAACTGAAAGTACAAAGAAGAAATCCCACCTCTCTGTCCTTCTCCTTCATGGCCAGTACCAGCTGCATGCGATGGTGAGCCAGACTCTCCTTGTAGCAGCCTTTGGAGTAGTAGGCTGACCCCAGGTTCCCCTGCACCCTGCATTCTCCCTGGGGATCACCTGGGATAACATATAAAATACAAAACTTTAGACTAACAAATCTAACGTTTCTTTTTGTAACCTTATTGCCAAGTTACATAAATCCAATACGTTGAAAAACAGTTTCTGTGAGCACTTTAAATTGCACAATACCCCAGGTATGCAGATTTAGATGTATTGATTTTAACAGTGCATTATGGTGGTGGTGGTGGTGGGGGTCATTGCATTGAAGATCTCTTAGACACACGTTTTCAGGGTGGTGGCCTGTTGGAATTATGTTAGTAGGCATTGGGTAAATATCAGAATTTATAATAGGATTAGTTCATCTTAAATTTTGGATTACTTGCAGGAAAATATTGAATCCTAATTGTGACATTCAAATCATACCAACTGCAACAATTTTCTTCACATAGCATGAAATTGTAACTCCTAGAGTGACATTCTCATATTTCACCTGCAGCTATAAAGAATCATGACTTGATGAATGAGTTAGGCAGAAATACCTCCCTACCACCACCAGAACGCCCACAGACATTCTTAGACTATGGGAGACATAACTATAAAGAAAGAAAATAAACAATCCATTCCAAAATGTCTAGCTCTTCATATAAAAGAGTCCCTGACAGCCGGCAGAAGGACAGACAAAGCCTGTGTAAATACTCGAGCTCTCGCTGATGGCTGAGTTAACCTTTCGCACACTGAAGTAGCTGCTTGGCTACCAGTTCTCCATTTGTTTTCTAAGGCAGCAGGGAGAATTCGAAGGTTAAATGCTGCAGGTGTTAAACAATAGACAATACAGATTATCTCAAGGTTGTATTTTGAGAACTTCCTCTCTTATTCTTAGCGCCACACGCAAAGCTTTAAGACAACTTTTGAGTCGACAAGATCAAAGGAGAACATGAAGACAACAGTGGAAAATGCAAGTCATAGTATTAATAAGAAGGGATACAAAAGTATAAGATAGCATTCTTTATGCAACTTATTTGCAGTGTGTGTAAATTGCATGAAAACAATGTCTTGCAATGAATTAATTATCTCCTAACAGAGAGAAGGGTTTATGTAAGACGCCACAAGGTCCTCAATCCACTGCTTACAACAACTTGGACAGCAGGAATGTCAAACAGTGGACTTCTACTAAAAGCCTGTTGTCTTTGGAGGGACTATGTCATCTCTTCTGAGGGCCACTTTGGGTCAGCAGTTTTTGGACGTCCACCAAACTGGGGAAAACAGCCCCACAGCGTGTTAAAAGGCGGGAGGAAATGGCTCGAGAAGGTGCTCTCTAAACAGTCATGACCTCAGCTGATACCACAACATACCGGCGACTACAGACAGCTTCTAGACCTGAACATTTGCAAGAATTTGTGTTTGAAGTTCGAACATTTTTGTCTGCTATTTTTATCTGCATTCAGCTGGTGTGTTACGCCAAATACTGATACATTCATACCGATACATTCATTTTGTATACTCCCTATGCTAGGATAAATATAGAATCAGATATGCTATTTTGAAAAGTTTGAGATAAGTCTGATATGAAAGAATTTGAGAAGTTTCAATGCAGTTTTGGTTCAATTCTGCGGAACTTCTATTCCATGTTTTTGCTGGCACTGAACCTCTATACAGTATGTCATATATCTACACAAGTAGAGGTTGGGTGCATACCGTCATTGCTGAAAGCATGACAAGTGTGGCACGGTCAGCCTGCAGTGAAAGCTGGGGAAGGTGAGGGAACACAAACCCAGGTAACCTTACACCCGGGACATGCCCCTGCATGGGATAACTAGATTTGAAACTGGGGTAAGCACTGATGGGCCATGAAATCGTGTCATGTACAACCCATTTGTTAGCATATCAAGTTTACAGTAGAGCAGAGTTTCCATAGGGCACAACGTATGCATTCTCACACAGTTAATACAGGCTTTATTAGAAAAATAGTTTGAATCAATAAATCTAGAAATTCTTACAGTTCTTTGGCTACTCTAGCATATTTCAAGTTATTCACCAACCGGATTAAAGGTAAACAGGAAGAACAATCCAATAATAATTGGGATTTTTCACATTCCTATTTTTAGACTTGAAAGTCCTCTGGCGTAAACATCGTGTAACTGACACTGGAAAAAGCATAAGGTGTATATCCTGCAGTCTGAAAAGGAGCTGGTAGGGGGAGCAAATTCAATCCCTTCTTCCTAAAGCGAGGGCCTACCTACTGGTATTATGGAAACCTATATGAATACCTTTTTGAGTTAACCTATTGTGTGGTAAGCAAAGGAACATACAACTTCAGTTCAGAAGGCAGCTGCTAGGGGGCAGACTTACCGAGTGACTTGGCGACAGTCAGGTCCTGCTGCATGTAGGCGATGGCCTTCTCCGTGTTGCCTAGCAACCAATGCGCCGTGGACAGGGCCGAGAACACCGACCCTTTCAGCTTTAAGCTGCACGTCCCCACCTGGTCACAGAGTAATATAAAAAAAGCATGTTGAGAACAAAACAGAAAGATTTTACCATCAGGATCAAAGGTACATTTGTATGTAGTTATGGTGTGCACCACATATGGTACGGCTCTGTACATATTGACAGTACCTCCCGGCACAAATTCTCTATTAAACAACGAGCAAACAAATTTTGAAATCAGCAAGACCTTATGTAAGAAACAGATCTTCCAAGTTGTAAAGGGAGTCTGAAAGGCAGTCTGAAAGTATGACTGTCCATACCTGACTGAGATTTTCCCCTTTGAAATTTATATTGACAATTATTTACATGGAAAAACTTCTTAACAATGTCTTTAGAACACTCAGTCAATCTCAAATGTATCTTTGAATTAACTATTGAGAACTACAGGTAAATACTCTTCTGGAGAGAGAAGTGTGGAAATACTGCTGAAACTTGGCATGGTCAAAAACTTCCACAACAGTACTATTTTGGCCTCAGGCTAGAAATGTCTGGATTCCTGATCTTTTAAGCCCTTGACTATAGTTCTCACAAAGGCACCCAGACAGGAAAATTCAAACAATTTGGGAGTTTCTGCAACATGTGCAAACTTCTAATAGCAAAATAAAACATGTCAAAGCAACCAGGTTAGCATTTATCACACTTTAGTTGCATTGACTAACATAAGAAATTAGTTTATGATTTTGCCCTTTTACAGAAAACATAGGGTACCAAAATAGTTGAACAAAAAGTACATATAAAACAATTATGATAGAGAAAACTTGATATCCAACCTTTAAAGCACACTCCAGGACCACCAGAGATGCAGAGTTGAACCCTGCAGCCAGCAGCTCCTGACCAATCACAGAGATGATGACAAACGGGCTCTTGTCCAGTTTCATCTTTTGCAACTGCCGATAGGTCGGTTCCAATTTTTCTGTAACAGAAGAGGGGAGATTTTCAAAACTTTTAAACCAATCACAGACCTGCTTGCATGCTGACAACCAATCACATTGAAGTTAACAAACAGTTTTAAGAGCTATACATAGTATTGCATCGACTGCATGCTATAAAGTTTTGCAGTCATAACTTCTCTCTATGGCAACTAGAAGAACTTTGGCATTGACAACCAAGAAATCGCTAACAGAAAACCACACGAAATGAAGGATCCATGTACTCTAAGGTTTGAAACGTGCGGCCTTCATCAAATTTGTCCAATTGATTTTTGTGTAATCCTTCAAAACTTGCCCACCGATTACTGACAGATTTGCTGTTTGCAGAGGGTTTGATTGTCCTAGAATATTTCAAACAGATCAATCTTTTATCGTTTGACAAACACAGCTGCTGTCTGTGCAGGGAATGTGATAATTGATAAACGCGTGCTGATATCAGCTTAGCAACTCCTAACGTTAACTCAATGTTGTTTGTTCCTATAACCTCAATCTTGGACAGTTTTTACTGTTTGAAGCCATAGTGTTTTTTGAATAGTTGAATAGAAAAATAGTTTGACTGCATTTTTTTTATCAGTAAGTTGCTGTAATTTTCGGAGACCAGACTCAACTCACAAACAAAGCCCTTCAACTGAAAAACAAGAACAGTTAGTTTACCAAAACTTTGCCTCAAAGCAAGGCAAGCACCTTGTAATGTATAAACTAAGACTGGGAGATGTCAGATGGCAAAATGTCCGTGTTTGTATTGTCTAAATCATAATTAAAACTTACAGCTTACACAAACAATGCTGACATATCTGACCCATGGAACAATGTCTAAGTGTTGTAATTATATCAGGGACATTTTTGAGGGATGTTGTGTAACCACGGACAACGTGTACTAACAAGAAAGGTCATCGGGATAACAAACAAGAGTTTACCCAACCCCCCGCCACCCAGGAAAGGATAAACATTGACTAATCTGAGTAATTAAAATGCAAAATGAGTTGATAGGTGAGAAAAACAACCAGCTATCCACAGCAATTCTACATTCTTATAGGAATGTGTGTCACAGTTCTGTGTAAATTGCTAATTCGATATTACTTTAGCACTTTTACAGGATATGGCAAGATCCAAATAACATTGATTGGCAAGATCTAGAAACATGTAACACATTGTAAACAAATTGTCTTATTAAATACATAGTATTTTTAAAACATAGATATTATATAAAAATGTTCTGGCATTGAAAATAGATCAAAACTGGTGCTTATTGGTACCTGTCAAAAGTAAATCCCTCACAAAATTAATTTAAAAGATCATGACTATGGAATATCCAGAACATGAGATATAAAAACTGCATGGATATTCTGTTGCAGCACCATAGAAAGCTGCCAAGAGGTCATAATCAAATTTGACCTTCATTTCTCCGACACCTACCCACATACCAAATACCATAAGGATCCTCCAACAACTTTTCGAGTTAAGCTGTCCACAAACCTACAAACAAAAATTACATGGCAGCAAAAACATACCAAAAGCAATTTGTAATGTTATGAATCTGTTTCTCACTGATAAAAAAAAAAGATCTGTATCTGTATCAGTATAGCTGGTATAATCGCCATTCGGCATAACACAACAGCTAGATCTTACCTCTGATTGGTGATTTCATGGCGGCTTCAACCATGCCAGCTCGTAGCTGTAGGCTCTTGGGGTCCTGTGCCAAGCCAGACGCAAACGCAGCCAGCGCCTCTGCATGCTGTCCCTTGCACTGCAGTGCCACACCTTGGCGGAAGTAAGCCTGCAGAAGGCAAGAAGAAGGAACTCCAATTAAGACACGTATCCATTTCTTACAAGGCGTACTTTGCATAAAGATTATTGGTAACGAGTACAAACAACTTCAACTTTTAAATGCACTTAGAACTTCTGACAAATTAGAGCATGATTGTATGTCCTTCTTAAGTATCATAAATAGGTGTGACATGCTAATAGAAACTTGGGATTAAGTGTGACAAGTCCTTCAATGTTACAGTACAAACCACTGTTTGCATGTCTAAAAGAAGGCCAGTGTTACACTGAACGGTGTTTAACCTGGTCAATATAGATACAGTTATACAGCACATACATATTTATGACACCCAAGGTAATAAACATAATTATGGATTATGTCTCTGGACTTTAAACCTTTTAGTTTATATATATAAGTGTGGGTGTATGTGTGCCTGTACGTGGAGCTTATGCCCACCAACACAAGTTTAGTGTTGGTATGCTATTGATCCAGATTTGTACTACATGTAGCACCCTAAAGGTTAACATTCACACAGCAAACACTAACTGTTCCATACAAACACCTGCTAGCATTGCATAATATGACCCAAATGTTTCAATTATGCAAGTTTTAGTATTGATTCTTTCCTAGTGTTGGTGATAATCATGGTACAACATAACATTTACTTTCATATCAAAAATCAATATATTGATTCGCTATGTAAGTAATGTTACATGTTATACATGTGTACATATACAGTAAAAACAGTATAACAGATTTTGAGAATGCTCTTTTGTATTTTGCTGTCTTCTGATATGTGATGATGTCTGATGACTAATATATAGTAATAAAGCCATTGGCAGGGTAGAAGCACTTGAAACACTCCAAATGTCAACTTCAGTGCAAAGGATGTGAAAAATGTCTGTGTTTCTAGAAGCGAAAGAATGCCAACAGTGACCTACATGTATGCAAGGCTAACATGCATCTTTTCTGTACATGGCAGACAATAGCCATGGACCTATGTAACAGTGTGTTCAATGTTGAAATCATAGTCATAGGTGTGTAAAAGCAAGGAATTATTGAGTGTGCAGGTATATCTTCTAAGCTTTATCATGCTAACTTCCTAAGTTGCCAACACAACTTTGCTATCAACAAGGCTAACATGCATCTTTTCCGTACTCAGACAATAGCCATAGATGATAGACCTAACAGTGTGTTAAATGTTGCAATCATAGCCATAGGTGTATAACAGCAAGGAATTATTGAGTGCGCAGGTGTATCTTCTAAGCTTTATCATGCTAACTTCCTAAGTTGCCAACACAACTTTGCTATCGCGTGATCTCCAAAGAATAGTACCTACAACAGAGTATGACCAGGATCAAACACAGACTATCTCTTGTCTATCTTTTATATATCTCTGGTAACATCAATTACACTACCCATTAACATAGCACGATTAGCCGGGCTGTGGCAAAACACCGACATTTACGTGTCTATGTGACAGTTGTGATCCTAGGATACCCCGTACTGGTCCGTGCGAAATAGCTTTCACGTTAATGAGTTGCGTGTTCCGTTAACCGCGGCCTGTCGGCACAACTGGCACCAAAGCACAAACTACTGCCTTATCTGGAGTTGACACTAGATAAGATTTCCCCAGGAGAAACGTCACTTAGTGTGGGGGCCCTGAGATGGGTCAACCTCTTCATCAACCTGACGTGTCTGAAGAAAGGCCTGAACTTAAAAATTAAAAATTATTTTAAAAGGTAAGGTATTAAAAATCATTCTGTGACGCATGATCATATGATCCAACTTCTCTTATCTTTTACAACTCTAATGTTCTGTCAATATATGCAAATCATATATATTATTGCCAAATAAATAAATCATCTCTTTGTGCATTTCTAGGTGAATACTTCTGGAAAGAAAAACATGACACAGATCAAATGTGAACTATGGCAAAATGCTTATTAGTGAAGGACTCGATACAAGTGAAAAGATGGGAAAAACTATGTTAGATTTATGGAAAGCATCTTTTCTATTGTGATGCATATTGTTGGGAACATAAGTAGGACACAGTTGTTTTGATAGCAATAAGTACAGCCAAGTATGGCACACTCGAGTCTCTGTCTTATCTCAGGCACCTGCTTACAGCACTCCGGTGTCACCCTATTTTTAAGTAACTCAAAAACCGTGTTTTGTCACGATCGGTCATCGCCCATTCTTCAGGGATTAACACCGGCGAGATAAGTCACTCGGACGCCGTTTGAGTGCTCTTGAGGGCCACATGTATATGACAAGCGCACGGCCGCGAGGGCGGGCATTCCTGCGCTGCTATTGTCAACAGCCTGACCCATTTGCCTACAGTGTTGTACCAACAGTGCTCGCTACAAACACACCAAGCCTGGAGACCGAATATCCGCACGGAACTCGCAGAAACAGTCTGTTCAATAACAGGTGTCCCTTTGTTCCGAAAATGCCGAGTAGCTACAAAAATCGCTACAATCAACTAGTACAATGACCTCCACTACAACAAGGGGAGTTTCAAAATGTCTGAGTCAACATACTGAAATGTGAAACATTTTGTTACAACTTAGAAACCAGCCACATGGATGCTGAGCTAAGTTGTACATTGCAGTGTATATAATCTTAAGGTGGTGGTTATAAGGAGGGTTATAGTCCCAATCATGGCAAACAAAACACAAAGACAACCTGCTCAAGAAAAGCTAACAAATTAGCCCGAGTGCGACAACACTCAGGTGTGCTGCGCTAATGCCACAAATTCCAACAGGTGGGAGACAATGACGGCAATTTAGGGACGATAAAGGCACAGGAAGAGCGTTGTTCTCACTATCACTGAGTATCAGGGCTAGGAAGTGTTAAATCAGAATATCATTGTAGTGTTACCAAGGTCGCACAGGTTTCTATGATGTACAGGTGTCTTGGTGATGGTTTACGGCATTTGCAAGCCACAAGCAACCACAAATGAATGAATGAAGGCATTTCATCCTAGTTCAACCCTATAAAAGACTGTACACAGTATACTCGACTTGGAAACTCTCAAGGTTGAATGGATCAAAGCCTTGCTAGCCATATTGTACCTGGTACAAGCCATTTATACAAAATACAAGCAAATATGAACAAGCTCTTCAACCAATCTATAGCTGTACCGATCCAACGCTTGTATGAACAAGCCATGGAGACAACCGTGTTATTCTACTCTTTTTATAAACTTAAAACAGTCCACCTTACCTCCATATCTGGTTGGTAAAACGGCTGGGTGTTCAAATAGCCTGCCATGGTGAGATGGTCACCGCGAGAAATCGTGGGACCCCGGCTGCCCCTTGGGGGTTCCGAGGATATTTGTCGGGTATGGCGGCCGGGCCGCTACGCTAATAGCAACTGTATCACGAGCAGTCATCTACATACTGTGTCTACACAGGGTGGACAAACACTGGGGAGGGTCACACGCAGACAAACAACCCTGCCATGTCACCTGATGGGCTATTACACATTCATATTTCACGATGTTATATACGTTAACACTCGTAACGGAATTCTCGGCATGGTGCAAACACTCGTTCTTTGCCATAAACAGATAAGGTACGGTCGTGCAGTTTCGTAAAAAGATGATGTCATCAACATTTGCACTATGACAATACTCTTTATGGTTGAGTGACGATTTCAAGTGCAATAGAAGTGAGGCCACTCTAAACGATAATTGTACTTCATTCTGTGACAAATTAAATAAGCATTCAAGACATACGGGATTGTAAAACTAAAAGCTAGGAGTCAGCTAATAAATGTATCTTGTTCTATCTCAAGAAGATTTTAGAAAGATGTCATCTTGCTTAGCACTGCCTAAGGATATGTATGATATACTACAAACATATATGGCCATCATATGGCAGGCCAAAGGTCAACTACAAAGACACCGAACATCAGTTTACCACCCTGTTTTTACTTGAGTTGTAAATGTTTGAGGTAGAAGTTACCATAACTCATATCCTTCATGCACAAAGGTCAATATGCCAAGCATGTTCAATTGAAAAGCATAGCTTATGTTTTCCGTCATTAGAAAAATGGAAACCTAAAATTGGACATTTGATTTCAAGTTTCCATGATATTTGTCAGGTTAGACATCCAGGTAATGAGATACACAAGAAAACCGTTACTCAAGCAACTGTATAGACTTTGAAAACTGTCAGACATTCAAAGTCTATACACTTGCTTGAGTGACAGTTTTCTTGTGCAAGAGTTTCGATAGTTTGTGTCAATTTCAAACTGTCAAATTTCAATCTCAAACTGTCAAAGGTACATGTATTTCATGTACAATACTCTAGGAAACTACAGGATGTCAATGTAGTGTGCTTAATCTTCATTGAATCCTAACTACACCATTCCTATAAGGTGAGGTGTAACAATGCCTATCACTCCCACTTCAATTATCACACCTAATCCTGGCTTATGTTTATCCATTGTCAAACATGGTGTTGACGAATCTTGATAGATAATCCTCTTAAAAGCCATTAGCCCTCCACCCCTGATCCCGCCCCCATTAAAAACAGCTCAATGGCAAACAGTAGGTAATTTGTGGGTAAAACCCCTATTTATGCAGTAGCATATCCTAAACATAACCTGTTCTCCTTATGTTTGCTATCATAAGGTAGACTGAACCATTATGGTAAACAGGGATGATCAGGTCCAGATACTACTTTACGCTAATCCTACCCACACAGGGATAATCTTTTGTAATGGACTGTGAAACTGCCCAACCAGGAGTAAGCCAATCATCATTTGTTGCCACAGCAACAACCACGGCAGTAATCCTTTCAAGAAACTACCAATAAACAGGAACAAACAGTGCATCTACTAGTACCCAGGTAAACAGGACTCCCGCTTTCGAACTTCGTAAATCACTGTGGACAGTTTTCACACACATCACTTCACATAGAAGTCAGAGAAGTGGAGCAATATAAAAGTTAAAGCTTTTGGAAGACAGCGATATGCCTTTCTCAAAATTTCAATGGATTACA